TAACTAACCCGGGACATTTTCTCAACACGTTGAAAAATGGATTTTTTTTCGGGTAATTAGACACACCTGATTTTGAATTTGGCGCTATTTTCAATCCAAGATAACCGGGACGTCCCCGATTGGGAAGTTGTCCCCGGTTGGAAGGTGTGTAAACAAACAATTGTTCCCGTTTGACACGTTTCAACACGCACGCACGCACGCACGCACGCACACACACACACACACACACACACACACACACACACAAAAGTTCCTCCCTTGAAGTTATTAACTTTTTTTTTCAAGAGTCAATTAATTATATATATTCATTTAATAAATTATTTACATTTTTTGAAAAGTCTTAGACTTAGCCTAGATTTGATCGCATACTTACCTTTGAACAAGAAAAAAAAATATTCTATCGTTACCTAGCTGAGTCAAAGGTTCAGGTAAACTTAACCCTTTCTGATCGAAGGTGTTCGGTGTCGATCTGTGCTGTGTTTCGTCTGTCGTCTGTAAACTTTTCACATTCCGACTTCTTCTCGAGAACCACTGTGCCAATTTCAACCAAACTTGCCACAAAGTATCCTTACTTGGGTGAAGCTGATATAAGTTTTTTTCAAATGAAGGACTATGATCCCTTTCAAGGGGGGTAATTAAGAATTAGTGAAAATTTAATGGCCTTTTTAAAAAAAAATTCTTCTCAATAACCACTGGACCAGAAAAATGAAACTTATGCGAAAGCTTCATTACCTGGTGTAGATTCAAATTTCTTCAAATCATGACCCCCGGAGCTAGGGCGGGGCCTCAATAAGGGACTAAATTTTTACATGGCAAAGAGCGATAACTCTGTAAAACTTGGGAAAAGGAATCGTGTGCATATACATAGAAAAAACAAATGTGTAAAGTTAAAAGAAAATGGACTCTTGAGATTGATTAACTGTTCGTTATGTCCATATTTCACTTCAGTATATAACTCCATTGTGGAACTGATTCAATTTTATATGTACTTAAATCTGATCATACTGTTATAATTGCAAACCCACCCACCTATGGCATGTCATACATTGAAATAATCGATCTTTTCCATTTGTATTGTATAATTTTCCATTTAAATTCTATAATTTTCCATTTGCATTGTATAATTTTCCATTTGTATTGTATACTGTTTATTTGTATTCTATAATTTTCCATTTGCATTGTATAATTTTTCATTTGTATGGTATAATTTTTATTTGTATTCTACAATTTTCCATTTTTTAAAAAAAATTTGTATTCTATAATCTTTTATTTGTATTTTATGATTTTCCATTTGTATTCTATAATTTTCCATACAATACAAATGAAAAATTATAAAATACAAATGGAAAATTATACAATACAAATTGAAAATTAACAATGCAAATGGAAATAATAGAATACAAATAAAATTATACAATACAAATAAAAATATACAAAACAAAATGAAAATTATACAAAAAATGAAAAATTATAGAATACAAATAAAAATCATACAATATATATAAAAAATTATACAAATGGAGAATTATAGAATACAACTAAAAAAAGTTACAATACAAATGAAAAAATTTAGAATATAAATAAAAATTTTAAATTGCAAATGAAAAAATTATACAATACAAACAGAAAATAAATCTTACAATACAAATGGAAAATTATACAATATAAATGGAATAATATACAATACAAATGGAAAAATATACAATACAAATGGAAAAGTTCGAATATTGCAGCGTTTGACATGCCATATCCACCACCTTGATTGTTGAATAAACAATAAATTGGAAGTTTAACATCCATTCCGATTGAATGAAATTTTTATTGTCAGTAATGATTATTATATCTCATTATAATTATTCTATACAATGCGTTATCTGATTGGTTATAGATCATCACGTGGCAGGGCCATAAAACTTCATATTTCCCTGTCGTCGTCATGCTTTTCATTATATTCAAACTCTTCGGAGACCTAGTGCATTTTCCCGCAAAAATTATCGTTTGTTGAACGAAAACTCCCGAGAGTAGTAGACGTCACAATAGCCTGGTTCATGTAACAACTTCTGTAAATTGTAACATTAAAAAAAAAATGAGAGTGAATTTAAGAGCGGTGCCGAATGTGAAAGTTTATGCTTATTTTTAAAGTTTTTGCTTGTTTCGGTATAATAAACAATTTATTGCATGAATATTCGGGAAGCATGAAAATTTATTCAGCCAAGAAAATCATATTCCCCTCGGGCGAAGCCCTCGGGAAATATGATTTTTCTTGGCTGAAAAAATCTTCATATTTCCCTCACAATCTTGCAATAAATGTATAATATCATCCACGACAACCAAAATGTTTTTTTTTCTTTGAAAGATTAGACCAAGCATGTTTTGTTTTTGATTGTTTTGTTTTTTAAATTGCAAAACACTTAATCTAACTGTCCGGCATTGCCAGTTTTTGGCTTCCGTCGCCAACTGCCTACTGCCAACTGCAAAGAGCCATAGCTGCCTTGCTGATGACACGACTGACTCAAGAATTTAAAAGGAAATCACCCGTTTCTATTTATGGATAAATTTACCTTTTCCACACTAACCAACCTATGTAAATTCAGTTGGGAATAGTGTAATGTCATATAACCATTTTACATGTTCATTACTCTTACAATGTATTTCAAGATAGAAGGCTTAGAAAATCAGTAAAAATAAAACAAGTATCTATGAAGTTGTAAAATTGAGTAGAGTCTTTTTCCGAGATATTTTCAAAGTGAAACGTGTAGGCCTATATTAAAACTTTTTGAAATTATGTTTTTTATTAAATAAAAAGAAGAAAACGTAGAAAAGATACACAAAGAAAAAAATGGAAATGATGGGCTCGAACTCTAAATCACCTCATTTACATTTAAGCAATCGCACCACTGCGCCACGAGATCGCTGAGTCGCCCGCGTGGCGCAGTGGTTAGAGCGTCTGCTCTAGAGTCGCGGAGTAAGGAGTTGATCCTTACGTCGCGGGTTCGAATCCCACTGCGGGACGTGGAGACCGGTCCTTCGGATGAGACCGTATAAACCGAGGTCCCGTGTTGCAGTAGGTGCTGGCACGAAAAAGATCCTCTGCTCAATGGCCTTAAGTGCCGAGTATAGGAAAAAATTTGCAGCTCTCCATCGGCAAGTGGTGGCGTCTCCATATGAGTGAAAAATTCTTTTTTTTTTTTAATTATTTTATTTTTTCAACACAATTCATTATATACAAAGTGTCCAATATCTTTTCTTTAACAGAATTGTGTGTATATATATAGAGAGAGAGAGAAAGAGAGAGAGAGGGGGAGAAAGAGAGAGTTACAAAAATAATTGGTTCCTCCTGTTCCACTGATTGTCAAATTTCTCTTTTTCACCATTTTTATATGATATATATTTTTGTGTTTGGTAAAAATAACTCAAGTGTGATATCGCAGAGTGCACATTTAGAGGTTTTTCAGTGCATCTAGAAGTATAAATATAATATTTCAACCATAAGATTAAGATATTAGCTATTTCATTATTTTTTCCTCCAATACCTAAAATGAATGATTTTTTTGTTATGGACAAATGGAGGTTTTTCTGCTGGAGATAATATTCAAAGTTTTCAAGGAGTGATTGTACAAGATCACATTCCCATAAGATATGTTCAATTATCTCTTCTTCTTTTTGACAAAAAGTACATTGCTTTGAAACAACCTTTTTAACTTTGAATAAAAAAGAATTTGTTGCCAATATTTTATTTAAAATTCTGTACTGAAACCACTGGAGGTTACAGTTTTTTTTGTGACTTGAAATGGTTATTTATGAATTATTTTGCATTCCTTACTATCCAAATCAAATAATTCAATCCATTTTTTGTAACCAGCTGTTATAGAAGAATTTTTATTGAGAATTTCATAGAAGTTTTTTGATTTTTTGCATTTTGATACGAGATAAAAGTTAGACATAATAAGAGGATTTTCTGATTTTTGTAAATTTTCATCAAAATTGCTCCTCTTTATCCAAGCTTTAACTGCATGGATCAAGCTAGAATACTCTAAAAAATTAATCTTTATATCTGGATAAGTATTGCAAAAGCATTCATGGCTATAAAAAAAAGCCATCTACTCCAATAATGTCATTAATATATCTAATATTATTGTCAAAAAGTTTTTTACTATAAAAGGTTTTCCCTCCAATATGGATCATAGGGTTATAAAACAGTGGAGAGTCTACAGTAGCATCAGAATCAGTACAAATTTTATTCAAATCAACCCAGGACTTGAACACATCAATCCAGAATTTATTTTTTAAGGTTTTCATAAGTTGAGTGATGTATTCAATACCACAGGATGCAAATTTTTATATATTCATATTTGGGATGAAATTTTCCCACCCTTTATTTGTAAAAACTAGATGTCTTATCCAAACTAATTTCAAAGAAACAATGAAAGCATTTAAATTTATCATTTTCAGTCCTCCATCTTCATATTTTTTAACAATGACATCTTTCTTAACTCTATGAGTTGAATTATTCCATAAGAATGAGAAAAAAGTTTTTCTAATTCTTTACAATAAGAATTAGATGGATTTGGGATTGACATAAATAAATGATTTAATATAGGTAAAGTCAGTGAGTGAAAAATTCTCGAGAGGGACGTTAAACAACTAAACAACATACAAACAAACGAGATCACTGATCTCGAAATGATTTTTAGGCCTTAGATTGATAATTCTTTTTCATTTCAAGCATAGACATATGGGGCATCGTCCCTCTTTCAAGTCTCATAAAACGATAAACATAACCATATTTTTACATTGTAAATAAATTTACACTTTCACTGATGAAAACTACTAAATCTCGGTTAAAAATAGAAAATGTCCGAAAATTTATTTTCCTTTCCGGAATTACTCCAATTTTAGTCAATACCTTCTCAATCTCTTTTGCGCTTAACAGAACAAAACTTTACTTCCAATCAATAAGTGCACAATCAACATTGAGGAAAAAAATTAAGGAGAAGGATAAAGGTACAGATATTTTTTCGATGTGTCATCACAGTGAATTTAAGACAAATGACGTGTTTTTCTTAAGTAATGGGTCCAGCGATGTCTTGTTTACATAAAAATCAAAATATATTGTTGCCGATTAACAACAAAAATCCTTCTCTTACAAAATATATTAGCCAATTCGATCAAATTCAAGTCCCCACCCATTCTGGGTCCAGGATGTCTGCAGCAAGCAGAGCTGATACAAAAGAGGGAAATTTTCAACAATTCAATCTAGTAGAAGCAATAGAGCGCAATGACATAGATGCCGTCATAGACCTAATCAACAATTATTCTTTGGAAAGCTGGGGTGATGTTTCAAATTATGTGACCAACAACTATAGAATTCACAACCCTGTAGAGACCGCTTGTAATTTGGGACGCACAAAGATTATTCACATATTTTTTGACAATGGATGCAGTGCTAATTTGCCAACAAGCTCAGGTCGTTTGATTCACACTGTGTGTAAAAACATACAGACACAGAAAATAAATATAGAAGATGGCCGTGAACTTATCAAATTGATGTGTCTTCAGAATAATTGTAATGTGAATATAAAAGACATTCATCATAAAACACCAATACTGTATGCATGTGAAATTGGAGACAAGGAAATTCTAGAAACATTGATGTCTGTCTCTGATCCAGACATCCTTAAATGCAAAGACCTTCCAAATGGATTTACACCACTCCACATGTCAACCATGAAAAGTGATCTGGAATGTGTCGCAGTCATTCTAAAGCATTTACCAGAGAAAAATTTTATTAACATTCAGGATAATAGGGGCAGAACTCCACTTCATTTATCTTTGATATCAATGTGCAAAAACCTTCAATACATGAATGAAATAGCATTAGATTTTCATGAGTTGTCAGAATCCAAAAAACATTTACAGAGAGAACAAACAAGAAAGCTACAACTCATTCAGGAAAATTCAATTTCTGTTGTAGAGCTTCTTTTACTGCATGGAAGTGATCCAAACTGCTATTTGCATGGTGGAAGACTATCACCTAGTCAATCTATTGGTAAAGATATGCCACTTTACCTTGCCATGTCATTGGTTGCAAATGATCTGACAGCAGACTTTTTGTATGGAGACAAATCAAAGACCTCAACTGCAATGCAACCTTTCTTGTTTTCCTCAGTGCCAAATAATAACCTGAAGCCCTCCTCTTACTCATCTCTTGTAAGACTTCTTATCTTGTTTGGTGCCAACCCAAAAGAAAGCAAAGATTTGTGGTTGACTTCCTTCCAGGATGACCCCTCTGTAACACCTCTGATAGAGGAAGTGTTTTCTTACATTGAGAACAAAGGTTGTGGTCCTAGTAAACTTTTTCAGTTGTGTAAACAAGTCATAAGACTCCATCTGACTAAATCACAGAATCTCCATAAAATAGATGAGCTTCCCTTACCTACTTCAATGCAAGCTTATATAAGATTTCAATTTCTGTAAGATGTTTATTTCAATATACATTGTCTCTGATTTGTTCATCTTTTTTCATGCTCCATTGATGGGGCACAACAACATAAACTCTGTTAAAAAATGTGTTTTTGCAATGGTAATCTTTCTATCTATTCTTGTCAACATTGTAAATACATGTATTTTGTACATTTTAATTGAAAGACAGCCAGAAAAGCATTTTTATTGTTATATTTCAGTTTACTGTTTGTTTTCTACATACTGTATAAAGAATTTATGTTGTACAATATTATCACCAGGCATCAGATCTATAGTAATATTGATAATAACATTTTGATGCCTTGTATTCAGATTGAACCCCCTTCCCCCTCTGAAAAATGAGTATGTTATGACTTCTTCTTGTGGCAACAAACTAAGCCAAAGGAAGTACAGATTTAAAATTTGCATTCTTGAATTAATGAATTAAAGCACTGCAAAGCAGATCCCCTCCCTTTTGCAACATGATTTCAATCCAAGATTACAGCTTCTCAAATATTGAATTTATACTCTGTTGATAACATTATCAATACCTAGCACTGTATTTTATCTAGGCATTTGGGCCCTATTTTTTTTTCCACCTAGCATCTCTGTATTAAGTTTGAGACTGAGCTCATGTTGCAATTTTAAATACTGGTATTATCTAAAGTATATTAAAATTTACACAGATCCCAATCTATGACTTTATTCTTTGACCTTGTCTGTTTCGGAGCTAACTTTAAAATAGGCAGTGGCTTTTGTTTTTGATTTCCAGTCATTTGGCATTGGACATGAGATTCACTGGTACTACCATGTTGATGAAGCCTTTCTACATTAGAGAAACATTATGGTCTCAATTAGATGAGGCACTTCACTTAGAGCTGGTCTAAATTATGCACCTCAATTAGAGCTGGTCTAAATTAGGAACCTTACTTAAGGCTGGTCTAAATTAGGCACCTTACTTAGAGCTGGTCTAAATTAGGAACCTCACTTAGGGCTGGTCTAAATTAGGCACATCACTTAGGGGTGGTCGAAATTAGGGACCTCACAGCTAGTCAAAAATAGGCACCTCACTTAGAGCTGGTCAAAATTAGGCACTTCACTTAGAGGTGGTCTAAGTTTGGCATTTCACTTAAAGTTTTACCTTATCATGTTTCAGTTTTGCAATTCTTCCAGTTACATAACATTATAAGTTTGTTAATGTTGATTCTATTTATTTATATGAATTTTTTGTTGTAATTTGTAATCTTATGATTGATTCAGCCTTGCATCATTTTGAGTCATACTTATAGAGATGCTACTTCACTTTTGACTTGCATTTTTAAGATTTGGATGCAATTTGACATAGATTTGCAACATTTACTTTGATCAGGTAAATAGAATTTATAGTGCAATTAGCTTACCCATATATGATTAGACAAAACTTTGAGAGGATCCTTTGATAAAGAACTTAAATAGAAACCTGACATAAGGGCAGGCTAACAGTTTGTCCTTAGACAGAGGCCAATGGAAATCTCTGGTAGTGGTCTAACACAGCACAAAGAGGATTAGATATATATATTATAGATAGATAGCTTATACAGTTTATTGTATAATATTGAAATCATCTATAAACTGAAGGGGGAGGGGCTACATAGAGATATGATTTCAGTCATGAAATTTGTGGTTGTACATGTATAAATCTGTGGAATTTTGCCTATGAATATTATTAAAGAGAAATAATGATATACAATTCTTTATATATTGTTGTTCATCCTAAACCATTATTGGTTTAAGGGTATGTCATCAAATTGCAAAACATTGACATATATTGAACTTTTGTACTTCCAGACCAGCACTTCTCTGCATTTACCCCTTTCTTTTGTCTATATCTCGCCCTTTTTTATTAGACATTAAACCTTAATGTGTGTATTCACTTTGACCTTCTTGTAAGGAGAGGGCTAAACTAGGCCAATTCTATTAATTTTGTGATAAAAATATTGTTTAAATATTTTTTGAACAAAAAATTAAATTGATGCCAGACTTGTACATAATTTCATATGTATATTAAGATCACTGTCAGATCTTTTTCACTATCAGACCCTTATAACTTATAACTGGCCAATAGTTTTGAGAGAGACCAGACCTCTGACCAAGGTACTACTCTGTTGGTAAAGTTTGAGCTGGTCAGGACCAGAGAGAGAAAGTATGCTCCATACAAGGATTTTCGCAGAGACGTTGTTTGACCTTTGTTCTTTACTTTAAATTTTGTTGACTTTTTGCTCACTACCCATCCTCTACCAACAGACGCTCTATGGTCAAATATGAGCCAGATTGGGCCAAGGGGAGAGAAAAATGCTCTGGACAATAATTTTACACAGAGATGATTTTTTTTTACCTTAACTTTTGATCAAGAAAATTGCTTCAAGGTCACTGTGCACCCTCTTTCCACAAGCACTCAACAAATGAAGACCATACTGGTCCAAGGGAAAAGAAAATATACTGGTACTCAAGACAAGGATTTCACTCAGAGGTCAATTTTGACCTTGATTTAGAGGTAGCTTTAGACCTTTGATGTAGAAAATTGGATCAAGATCAGTGCATACCCTGTACCTATGGGCAAATATGAGTAAAAGTTAAAGGAGCAAAAAAGTTGAGGAAAATAAGGCCTAGGGAAGAGAAAATATATTTTGCATGTGACAGACAGATAGACACACTATAGAGTGCTGACAGTGTTGGACCCTAATTAATATGACCAACTCTATGGCAAGTAAGAACTGAAGGATCTCTTTCAGTTGTGTCCATATTATTTACAGTATCTGTATCTTTGACCTTGACATTTTAATCCTGAAATTAAAAGGCTTCTTTCTCTGGATATAAAACATGTTTGCAGAAAGTATGAATTGAAAGTTTATAAAAAGGGCTGGTACCCTTTAAATTGTATGCACTACATTGAGTATACTATTACTGCATTTCTCCTTTGTTTCTAAAATAGATAACACCCCTTAACGAGTTGATCTTGGTTTTTAGAGTTCTTTCCTGCAATACATATGTACACAATGAGTTTGGAAAATAAATGAAAACACAAAATTCCCTGATGTTTAATTTTATTGTGTCAACACTTTGAATCTCCAATATGAACTTCATATATTGAAGGAGGAATAATATACCATCACATTCTTTTTTTAAACAAAAACATGATCCTCAGTTTGATTGATATTAACCCATTCTTTTTAAATTTAATTGAAAATCAGGGGTTCAATCTCAGTAGGTCTTTTTTCCTTTTGTACTTAAAATTCCATTAATCACTATTAAATGATATCTATTTTAATTTAATATCAAAAGTTAATAATTTAAAACTTTAATCTATGATATGTTGCAGGTGACTAATGCCTCCTGTAGAAATCAATTCAATATCAGACAACACATGTATGCATTTCTATTACGTAAGAATTCACTGGAGTTGCTTACAGTTTATTTCACATGATATTTCAATATTTAGTGTCCCTATTAATAGCCTTAGAATGCATACAGAGTCTGTAAAAGTTTATGTCTGGCTTGGGATGCTGAATCAAGAAGTGGATGTGGTCTGAAAAAAGAGACAAATTTGGATATCAACTCTGCAGCTTACTATTAAATCACTTTTAATGTACTGACAATGAAATCAACTTACTTGCTAAAAAAGGCTTGTAACATCTCTCTAGAGTATTTTGGAAAGTAGGGTTGTCGTACAATATGTTCCAATACTAAGAGTGGTCCTGTTATGTCATTAGGTGGTTTGTAAGATTTATCTTCACCCTGAAATGAGAACACGTAATTTACTGTATCTGTCAGTTCTATAAATGTCATACATGTGCACAAATATTAATGAAACATTCTGGAGATCTGGACATAGGAGAGATCTTCCTTTTTCCCTAATTTTCAAATTAAACTTTGAACAGAGTCCCACATGAGTGCTTCCACCACATTTTAAATAACATAAAATAAAGTTTGACTTATTTTAAAAGAAAATGTTAAACATTAAGTTTTATCATTTCCAAACCATTTTAGCCAGACTAGATGCATACAACTTGAAACAAACAAGTATGACACAATTTCAAAAGTCTATGAAATTTACAATGTAAATTTCTACCATTGTTGGAATTACAACTAGAGGTACTGTGAGTAAGCTCACAAAAAAATTATACCCCACTGCTGCAATTTTTTTTTAAGTGCCCATTCAAATTTTGTAAATGTGACCTTGAACTTTGCCAATAACACCTTGGTTAAACAAGAGACCCATGGGCCACACTGCTCACCCGAGCACATTTGCTAGGAAAAAGAACAAATCAGTCCAGCAATTGAAAAATTTACGCGGGGGGGGGGGGGGGGGGGGGGGGGGGGGGGGGGGGTAGGCTTGAATTTTAAACAACCTGAGGATGCTTCCATATCAATATAACAAATGGCTTTGCTGTTCTTCAGCAGCAGATTTTTTCCTTTATATTCGTTTGTAAAACTTTGATCCCCCATTGTGGCCAAAACCCTATCCCCCGGGGTCTTCATTTGAACAAACTTGAATCTACACTACCTGAGGATGCTTCCATATCAATATGACTAAACATGACTTTTCTGTTCTTGAGAAGATTTTTTCCTATATATTCCTTTGTAAAACTATGATCCCCCATTGTGGCCCGTCCCTACCCCTGGGGGTCATCATTTGAACAAAACTGTTAATATATATTTTTATATTGTGTTAATACACTAAGAGAGATAACTCTTGGTGGGGAACTCTTCTGTGTGTAGAGATTGTTTTGGTGAGGTGGTTGTTTATGTGACTGAGGTCAAGTGATGATAATAAAGTGCTTTGTGGATTCAGTCAGTGTTACTCCAAAAATAGAGATTAACAAGTGGTAGCAGAGCGTAAAATCAACCCCAGTGTCGAGTGAAAGGCAGTGAACTGTGTCAGAAGAAGTATAAACAGGGTGAGTCTGGGGAAAAAAAAGGAGGGAAACAGTGAATCCAATATGGCGACCAAGATCAATCCACCAGTGTTCAAATCCAAATCTAAGCCTTATGAACTATACAGACATGAGTTATTGGCTTGGAGTGAAATAACAGAACTTTCAAAAGAGAAGAAAGGCATTGCTGTTGCACTTACACTTCCAGAGGAAGATGACAGTAAGATTCGTGAGAAAGTTTTTGACCAAATCAAGCTTGAAGATTTAAAAAAGGAAACAGGTTTTAAAACCCTTCTTGACTTTCTTGATAAACACCTTGCTAAAGATGACCTAGCAGACAGTTTAGAAAAGTTCGAGGAATTTGAGGACCTTCATAGAAGTGAAGGACAATCAATGAATGAGTTCATAGCAATATTTGACAGTAAGTACAGAAAAATTGAGAAAAAGAAAATGACACTTCCTTCAGAAATATTAGCTTTTAAACTTTTGAGAAAAGCAAACATCACAAAAGAGCAAAAAATGTTAGTTTTGACTGGAATGAATTATGAAAATAAGGCCACATTATATGAAGAAGCAAAGAAGTCGTTAAAAAAGTTCATGGGTGAAGGAGGACATACACAGTGTGACAACAAGAGTATAAAACTAGAACCAGCATTTTTAGCAGAAAATGAAGACGTTTTATTGGCTGCGGGCTATGTACGAAGAGGTGGCAATTATGGATGTCGGCGAGGTGGGCGCTTTAACTACAGTAGGGGTGGTGGCAGAGGTTCAGGATTTTTCTCATCACAGTGTGGGACTGAAAATCTCAACCCACAAGGTGCAGATGGAAAAATCATGACATGCAGATCTTGTGGATCATTCAGGCATCTCGTGGCAAAATGTCCAGACAGTTGGGAAAACATATCTAAAGTACACATAACAGAGGAAGAGTCGTTAACAGAGCATGCAGTTTTGTTTACGGGATACCATAAAAATGAAATCAGCCAACTTGGGACAGAAGCACAAAACTGTGCAGTACTTGATAGTGCATGCAGCAGCACCGTATGTGGAAAAACATGGCTACAAAGTTACCTTAGCTCACTGAAGGAAAGTGATCGTGGGAAAGTCTTGAGACGCGAGGGGCATAAAGTCTTCAAATTTGGTGGTGGAACAAGATTGAAATCTGAAGGAGAATATGAATTACCAGTCAGTATGGTTGGTAAACCTGTTACAGTCAAAACAGATGTGGTTGATTCTGACATCCCTTTACTGCTTTCCAGAACTGCAATGAAAAAAGCAGGGGTAAAACTGGATTTGGAGAAGGATACTGCTGTCATTATGGGACAAGATGTGGCACTTAATTTAACTACATCTGGCCATTATTGTATACCAATTGACAAATCAGAGACTGTACCTATAGAAGAGGTGAACTCAGTTCAGCTTGAAGAATTGGAGCCTGAAAAACTCAAGTCTGCTCTTTTGAAACTTCATCGGCAGTTTGCACCCCCCCCCCCCCCCCAAAAAAAAAGAGACTTGTGGCTTTGTTACAAGATGCAGGAGTATGGAAGGAAGAGTTTGAGGAACACCTGTTGGAAATAGAACAAAAATGTGACCTTTGTAAAGCATACGCAAAGACACCACCAAGACCGGTAGTAGCAATGCCAATGGCAAAGGAATTCAATGAGAAAGTTGCGATGGACCTCAAACAGTATAAGGGTCGCTGGATATTACACATGATAGACATGTGGTCTAGATATACAGTCTCTGTCTTCATACAGCGAAAGAAGCCAAAAGATGTCATTGATGCTATGATGAAAAACTGGGTTGGAGTTTTTGGAGTAATGGGAGCCTTGATGACTGACAATGGTGGAGAATTTAGTTCAGATGAAATGCGAGAAATAGCATCTATTCTCAACATTCGTTTATGCACAACAGCAGGAATGAGCCCTTTTCAAAATGGACTTTGTGAACGTGTTCATGCTGTAACAGATATGATGCTGCTCAAACTTGAAGCTGAAAACAAAGCTGTTAATATTGAAACACTTCTTGCATGGGCAAATATGGCAAGAAACTCATTACAGATGTGGAATGGTTTTAGCAGCCATCAGTTAATATTTGGACAGAATCCAAATTTGCCAAACATCATGAAAGCAGATTTGCCTGCCCTGGAAGGAAGTACAAGTTCTGAGACACTGGCTAGGCATTTGAACACCCTGCATGAAGCAAGACGTGCCTTTATTCAAAGTGAAGCAGATGAAAGAATACGAAGAGCACTGCGTTCCAAAGTTAGAGCAGCAGAAGTAACATACGACAATGGTGATTTGGTGTTTTACAAAAGAGAGGGTCGAGAGCGCTGGTTAGGACCTGGAAAGGTGGTATTTCAAGACGGAAAAGTTGTGTTTGTGAGGCATGGGGGTGTCTTTGTGAGAGTATCCCCTAACAGACTGTGCAAAATTACACAAGATCAGACAGAAATGAATCTGAGTGAAGACAGTTTAGAGAAACCGTGTGAAAATAAAAACAGTGAGGATGTTGCTATGAGAACAAAGACTGACTTTCCAAGTACTGTTTCAGAAACACTTAGTCAGGCACCAGAGCAACTTAACCAGGAAGTAGCTATAGATCCACGACCTGACCAGAGACAGCGACCAAAGAAACATGACAGGATCAAGTACAAGCTACCAAACTCAGAGGAATGGACTGAGGCAACAGTACTGGGAAGAGCTGGAAAAGCGACAGGAAGGTACCCTTCTTGGTATAATGTTAGAAACAGTGTTGAAAATGAAGATAAAAGTCTTGATCTAGATATTGTGGAGTGGAAAACTGTCAACCCAGAAGAAGCAAACTTAGCCCACTTCAACACATACAGTGAAGCGTCTCATGGTACCAGTGATATGTTTATTGAAAATGCCAAACAAACAGAACTAGACAAACTGCGTCATTTCAACACATATGATGAAGTAGAGGACCATGGACAGAATACAATATCAACCAGATGGGTAATAACTGGCAAAGACAGTAATACAAGAGCTAGGTTAGTTGCACGAGGGTTTGAGGAACATTCTTTTATTCCTTCAGATAGTCCAACAATAGTTAAAGGGGCTATCAGGACATTTCTCACTGTGGCAGCTAGCAAAAGATGGATAGTAAAAACTACAGACATAAAGTCTGCATTTCTGCAAGGGAATACAATACAAAGGGAAGTGTTCATTAAACCTCCCTATGAAAGTAACACACCAGTTGGTTTTATATGGAAGCTAAAGCATGGACTATACGGCTTAAAAGATGGTGCTCGTCAGTTTTACATAAGTGTGCGAGATGAGCTGCTTAAACTAGGATGCAGTCAATCAAAAATGGACCCTGCTATGTTCACTAAAGAAAATGGAAAAATTCTGATAGGGATGGTATGCTGTCATGTTGATGATTTTCTACATGCCGGAGAAAGGGAATTTGAGGATTTGTTGTGTAAACTAAAACAGAGATTTCTAGCTGGTAAAGTTGAGGAACAAGATTTTCATCACATTGGATTCCACATAAAACAGAATGAAAATGGTATTACTGTAGATCACTCAAAGTTTATGGAGAAATTGGATCACCCCCACCTTGATCCTAAAAGAGCAATGCAGAAACATGAACAACTTACTATGGAAGAACAAACTTTATATCGTAAATTAATCGGACAACTCAATTGGGCAGTGCAAGGTTCACGACCAGATTTAGCATTTGAATTAGTTGATCTAAGTACAAAATTGAAAACTGCAACAGTGGCAGACATACTAAGAGCTATAAAAGCTATTGGGAAACTGAAAGACATAATACCAATCCAGATTTTCCCTTCTCTACATGGGTCAGCTGAAAAAGACTGGGAGATTTTTGTTTTCTCGGATGCAGCGCTGGCAAATATAAACGAGGGGAAAGGAAGTACTGGAGGTCAAATTTTGTGGTTCAAAGACCGCGTTGGAAACTGTTGTCCTATTCATTGGCAGGCCAACAAAATAAAGAGAGTTGTTCGTTCAACAATTGCGGCAGAAGCTTTAAGTTTGCAAGAGGGCCTTGAGTCTGCATTGTATTACAGGAAAATGCTAGAGGAGATCTGTACATTGGAAGCAGATAAAATACCAATTACAGCATTCATTGACAACAAAAGTGTTTTCGAGGCATTACAGTCTACAAGAATGGTGGATGACAAGCGCCTTTGAATTGACATAGCAGCAATTAGTGAAATAAAGAATAACAGTAATGTACATGTGAAATGGTGTCCAGGAAAAGTGCAGCTAGCCAATTGTATGACCAAGCGTGGAGCAAATGGAATGGAGCTGCTTAAAATTCTACAGACGGGGAAGTTACCAGAAGAATTCGTATGAATTTTTGTGATAGACATTGTATGTTCAAATGCATCTCTATATGTAAAGGGGCAGAATAATCCCCTGATGTCCCCAGGATAGTCTAATCCAATGAAGGTCATCACTGTCAAAGTAATTACATGTAAATATGAACAAAACATATTCATTGATAGGTAAAATTTCTTTATTAACTTCTTTATCAAATTTTGTTCAAAAAAAAAAAAAAAAAAAAAAAAAAAAAAGGAAATTGTAATTAATGTTAATATATATTTTTATATTGTGTTAATACACTAAGAGAGATAACTCTTGGTAGGGAACTCTTCTGTGTGTAGAGATTGTTTTGGTGAGGTGGTTGTTTATGTGACTGAGGTCAAGTGATGATAATAAAGTGCTTTGTGGATTCAGTCAGTGTTACTCCAAAAATAGAGATTAACAAAAACTTGAACCTACACTACCTCAGGATGCTTCCATATCAAAATGACTAATCATGGCTTTGCTGTTCTTGAGAAGAAGATTTTTAAAGATTTATCCTATGTATTCCTATGTAAAACTTTGATCCCCCATTGTGGCCCCACCCTACCCCCGGGGGTCATGATTTGAACAAATTTGAATCTACACTATCTGAGGATGTTTGCAAATAAGTTTCATCTTTCTTGGCCCAGTGGTTCTGGAGAAGAAGATCTTTAAAAGATGCCATTAATTTTTCACTAATTCTTAATTATCTCCCCTTGGAAAAAGGCTTGGCCCTTTATTTGAACAAACTTGAATCATCGTTACCCAAGGATACTTTGTGGCAAGTTTGGTTGAAATTGGCCCATTGGTTCTTGAGAAGAAGTTGAAAATGTGAAAAGTTTACGCACGACAAACACTTGCACAATAACGGACGAAAACAGATAGCAATAGGTCACCTGAGTGACTCAGGTGACCAAAAAAATGGGAATTGAATATGTTTTATTTAAATAAAAAAATTTCAAATGGGTTTTCCATGCTTTTTATCGACACAAAAGTCAACATTCAGACGACAGACAGATAGTCCTTCAACAAAAAGGATATGAGCTATATATCCTAATTTTTGGAATATACCGCAATACAATGGAACCTGCGATATAATGAAAATTGACGATACATGTACATCTTGAAATGTTAAAGAACAGAAGATTGCCAATAAAACAAAACATTCAATGCTTAAATGATGTCTGGCCTGAAAATATAGATTAGTGTTAAGGCATGTAAAGTATGGAGTACCTTTAAAATCCCAAGATACACCAGTAATGTGTTGGCAAGAATAACAGCATCATTTTCTCCATTACATTTCACGGTTTCTTCAATTATTTGGTCTGAAATGAAAAAACTGATTTTGAATATTTTGTTTCAACTGTTAAAATGACAAGTCTGCATAGTGTAAATGGATCATTTCCAGTGACTTATCAGATGTGAGAAAAAAACCTTGATTTTTGCAATAAAGAATTGGTAGTCGAATCTCATTATAATGAATTTGATGGGGCAATGAAAAAACCTTCGAAGATATCTGTGGATTTCAGATAGTGGGGTTAAAAACATTAAGAACTAGATGTGCCATAACACCACTATGCCCCCACAGGCAGCCAAAATTTCAAATGCCATATTTAGCTTTAAATTCGTTTGCACAAATATTTTCCAAGTTCAAGGGGGATAACTGTCAAAAATCATTGGATCACGACCAAATTCAAACTTGACCTGCATTTTCTGGTAAAATACCTGCATATGCAATTTCAACCTTAAACATACATCCCTATAAAAGAGAGCAGAAACTGAAAATTTCTCTTTTCTAAGTTCAAGAGGGATAACTCTGTCAAAAATCATCAAATCATGACCAAATTCAAACTTGACCTGTGCATTCCTATGACATATCCATGTGTCAAATTTGAGTTGAATGTGTGCAACTGTTGCCGAGATAATGAACGGAAAGTCAATGATGATAGAATGACGGAACAGGGTAACACTACATGCCCCTGGCCATTTTATGGCAGGGGCATAAAAATGGTTGGGACTTTTAATTCAATTGACAAACATGTCTATCCATGTATTTGAGATATTGACATTCAAGAAAACAAAGTTCAACTATTAGCAAATAGCAACAACAGAAAATATTATATGCTAATATGCATATTCTATTTTTAGATTGTAAACATTCTCTAATTAAAAATCATATTTTAATTCATCTCTAATATACAGGAAAAGCTTTGGAAAGGCAATAAAGCTATGTATACATGTGCCTATCATAGTAAAATGACTGTCTCTCTATAGAAGTACATGTACATGTAGCGGGGTATTCAGACTTTTCTCTATTTTTTTTTAAATCCCTAGTACAGCTGAGCTAAAATAATGAAGCATCTTAGACCAGGATATGCTAAATTACAGAATTTAATGCCTGCACAATCACAAGCTGACATAATGAAGCATCTTAGACCAGGATATGCTAAATTACAGAATGCCTCCACAATCACAAGCTGCATCTTAGACCAGGATATGGTAAATTACAGAATTAATACCTGCACAATCACAAGCTGCATCTTAGTCCAGGATATACTAGATTACAGAATCTAATACCTGCACAGTCACAAGCTGCATCTTAGACCAGGAAATGCTAGATTTACAGAATTTAATACCTGCACAATCACAAGCTGCATCTTTTGTTTTCGTATCCTCTGTTGTCACCACACTAGAAATCTATTAGAAAAGATGAATAAAACCTTTTACATAGAATTCCTAAGAATTGTTTCATTACCCTCTTTGTTTCCCTTAGAAGTAAGTTACTAAGCACACTTAAATTATATGCGAGAGGCCTTACAGTCACGTGAATGTCATGAATTTCTAAAATACAGTACTGTATGTTTAACTTTACTCAACCCAGAAAGTTAATCCCTGAACCAAAAACCACAAGAATTTCACAACTTTGCTAGAATATTTCTTATTTATGATCATTTTAACAGATTGTCTGCTAGTTGTCAATAAGCAAAGTTTTTTTTTTAAAAAATGCATCCATCAATTTACAAGATTTTGGTCCCTCTCTTTAGGCTTGGCAAAGGAGAACACAGGTACAGACTATTTATTATACCATGACATGTACTGGAAATTAACATTTATTTAGTTCAGCAATTTTACAGAAGATGAAATTATGGATCATACATGTTATATAAAAAGATATCCATAACAACAGTTAATTCTTAAAGGAGAAACATTATTCCATACTGCACATTTTCCACGTTATCAAACTTTCATTTTATTTTAAGAGCACCCTTTCTTTTTTAGGAACTTTCAAGCCATTTGTGTAAATGTATCTACTGACCTTCATAAATGTCTGAACTGCCTTTTCCAGATCATTAACATCAGCCTGTATTTTGAGACAGAATAAAATTAAATACAGTGTACATTTAAGTAATCTTTAAATCTGATAAAATAATGATAATAAACAGTGCATATATATGCATAATAAATTTTACACATATATATCTCAGAACTAATACATATTGAAATACATGCTTTGATTGTATTTTTGTTCAGTCAGTAAAATGGAATTAAAAACATAGGTAATCAAAGATTACGAAGCTCACCACGACAAATGTTATCTTTAAGTAAGGCAAATTTCACATCATATTTTTTTTTTATTGGTGTACATCTCAAGATCAATATCCATGCAAGTTTGGTTTATCCTGTTTACTTATCAAGAAAATTTTGGTCAGTTCCAATATCCAAAGTATGTCTGGAAGTTTTCATCCTTAGATGCACCATCTTTGCAAGTTTAATCATAACAGGCCATAATGTTATATGGCTACACATCATCCATGCTAATTTGGTTAAAATATGGCTAAAATTCACTCATGTGGAAAATCTAGGTCGAATCCAGCACCTGAAGCAGGTTGGTTAGTGTACATCCCTAGATGCATCATCCATGCAAGTTTGGTCAAGGTAGGGCTTATAGTTACATGTACTTGGGAATGGACCTGCTCCAAAAACTTTAACCTTGTCACTCACCTGGAAAATCGAGGTCAGATCCAGCATCCAAACCAAGTGTGGTAGTGTCCATCCCTAGTTGCATCATACATGTACATGCAAGTTTGGTCCAGGTAGGTCTTATAGTTACTTGGGAATGGACTTGCTCCTAAAACTTTAACCAGGACGCCGACACTGACGCCAGGGGTATAGCATAAGCTCATCTCAACTTCGTCAAGGTGAGCTAAACCAGAAGTCTCTGATGAGACTGTAGCTCTACTGGTCTGTACGTATAACAAAGTAGCACTTGGATTTGAAACTTTGCAACATGCAACAATAAATAGAATTATGTATCTTAATGTAGTCTACTTCTGTGCAAAGTTATATTGAAATCAAACGAAAACTGTAGGAGGAGTAACGTTTTGAAAGTATTTCACAGAAATTTCTATTTTTAGTAACCAAGACAACACCATTCACTTAAACCAAAAACTGAAAAACATATTATGTATCCTAGTGTATTCTGATTGTGTGCCAAATTAGATTGAAATCAGACCAAAACTGTACAAGGAGTAATGTTTTAAAGAAATTTCACAGAAATTTCTATTTTTAGTAACCATGGCAACACTGTTCATCGAAATCAAAAACTGATGCACTTAATAATGTATCTTAGTAAAGTCTACTTGTATGCCAAGTTATATTGAAATCAGACTAAAACTGTAGGAGGAGTAAAGTTTTAAAGGAATTTCACAGAAATTTCTATTTTTAGTAACCATGGCAACACCGTTCATTGGAATCAAAAACCGATAAATTAAATTATGTATCTTAGTGTAGTCTACTTGTGTGCCAAGTTATATTGAAATCAGACCAAAACTGTAGGAGGAGTAGCGTTTTCAAGGAATTTCACAGAAAGATCTATTTTTAGTAACCATGGCAACACCGTTCATTGAAATCAAAAACAGATGCACTAAATTATGTATCTTAGTGTAGTCTACTTGTGTACCAAGTTACACTGAAATCAGACCAAAACTGTAGGAGGAGTAGCGTTTTCAAGGAATTTCACAGAAATATCTATTTTTAGTAACCATGGCAACACCGTTCATTGAAATCAAAAACAGATGCACTAAATTATGTATCTTAGTGTAGTCTACTTGTGTACCAAGTTACACTGAAATCAGACCAAAACTGTAGGAGAAGTAGCGTTTTCAAGGAATTTCACAGAAATATCTATTTTTAGTAACCATGGCAACACCGTTCATTGAAATCAAAAACAGATGCACTAAATTATGTATCTTAGTGTAGTCTACTTGTGTGCCAAGTTACACTGAAATCAGACCAAAACTGTAGGAGGAGTAGCGTTTTAAAGGAATTTCACATAAATTTCTATTTTTAATAACCATGGCAACACTGTTCATTGAAATCAAAAACCGATGCACTAAATTATGTATCTTAGTGTAGTCTACTTGTGTGCCAAGTTACACTGAAATCAGACCAAAACTGTAGGAGGAGTAGCATTTTGAAAAATTGTTTACAGACAGATGGATGGACGATGGACACCTTACTATCGCATAAGCTCTTCTGGTCTCTGACCAGTAGAGCTAAAAACCCTCTTGACTTACCCCTAGTTCCTCTCTTATGGCCTGACCTCTACCACTTCCAAGCTGTAATAGTTTGCTGGGGGATGGAAATGCCAAAAAATCTTTTGCTGTTGTCTGTTCAAAGAATATATCATGATGATATACATACTGATCAATCAACCAAGATTACAAATATATTCCCTATCAAGTCCTGAATTTCAAAAGTAGAAAAAAGATTTGTCTGTCTAAAAAGACTAAATGGGATAATAATAGAAATGTACACTAATGAACACCTTAGATAGAAAATGACAATCTATATTGTGATTTAAAAAGAATAGCTCAGTAGGTCTCTATGTGACCTCTAAAATTTAGGCGCCAACTGGCTCCTAATCAAAATAATTTAGTCGCCAATGTAAATTTATAGTCGCCAGGTAAATTTTTCTTAAGCACCAATTTAAAAATTGATACGTGTATTAGTCAATATATAGAGACATGTCCATTGCTAACTTTTAAACTTCTTTTCTGCTCTTTATAATAAAAAAAATAGAAAATGTTTATAGTTCAGTAACTAGACAATCACCAAATCAATTTAAAATGGTTGCCAATTTGGCAATTTATAGAAAAATTTCAGACGCCAACCATAATTTTTAGGTGCCATGGCAACTAAATTAGTCGCCTATTAGAGCCCTGAACTGGCTTATTTTGTATTCATGACATAACAATCTATGAACATTTCCTTTTGATTTTAAACTCATGTATAAAAAATAAAATGCACAAAATTTAAACTCCACAGTTCATAAAGCATTATTATAACCATGTTTCTTTTTCACATTTCATTTACATTTGAGGTAACTCAGGACCTTTATTTCTACACTCCCTGCTTGAAAAGTGCAGGCATATAGTGACAGGGGTGTCCATCCATTACATTTGGGGTACCCCTCTCTTATCTGCAACACCTTCTTTTTTCATTGGATAAAATTTAATGAGATTTCAAAGAGTCTTTATAACACAGTGCCATTGTGCACCTCCTATTTTTACATCTTGACTGGACTCATATTTCAGTTTTCTCATAGCAAAACAAAACATGGAATTGCAATTATACTCATATGGGGGCAGAGGTATCATTTTATGAGCTCATTGCTCAGAGTAACCTCTACTTTTATCTTGGGCTTTAGATATCAGCATTTGACTTCATCAGTGGTCAAGATTACAAGCTGATTATTGTCTCCTAACCTCCTAGCAAGAAGGACAGCATGTTTGCTTACAATGTCTAAAGTGACTGGATATATTTAACTTTGCTTGCAATCTAAATGTAAGGGACAGGAATAGCATTATCTGGGAAGACAATCAGTTTAATAGACCACTCTCTATGCTCATTACCAATTATAACTCTGCAGTCAAAAAACTCACAAAAATATTAGTACACAAACAGAGGAAAATTATTCACAAAGGAAAAGCATTGTTCTGTAAATTTTATTTACAAACAGTTACAAACAGTCCCATAGAGCCTTCAAATGTAAGCTTTGAAAATTCGCATTCAGACATCTATATGGTTGGGTATTGATAAAATAACGAGCCCTAAAGGTAAATAAAGTACCAGGAATAGGAGTAAATTATATGGTAAATTAGCAGTTACCATACTTCAAGCAGGGGAATGCATGTAATACAAGAAATAATACCCAAAGTGAGCAACAAAAAATGTCAGCATAAATCTAAGGTTTTTTAAAATGCTTGGATCTGTATAGCTCACTGGTTTATCTGTCCACTGCCAAATTCTTTCAACCAGAGAGCTACAGTTCTGCAGCTTCATGCAGAGCAGAGATTTTTCCACAGGTGGCTTTCTATAACCCAATATACACTTCTAAACAAACTGCCAAAACATTTTCTCATGCCAGTGATGCCACATGCATTAACTCCTTCAGCACGATAATGTTATGGGTCACCCCAACTGCTCCCAGCCACTATCAATTGCATCTGTTTAAAACAACTTGTGGCACAAATAAAGATGAGCTAATATTCTTTATGCTCACAATATAGAGAATACAAATTCTCCCTGACAAAAAAACATTGTGTTATTCATTGACTTATTACTGAAAAAACATACAGCTTCAGATTTTCAAAGCTTTATAAGTGGAACAGAAACAATGCATGTCCACCATAACTCCTGCCAACAAATACATATACTTTGGATAATTCTCAATACTGGCAACTAAAAGGCAAACATGTTTACTTATTATCTGAGAATGCATAAGACACAATGCCCAGAAATTAATAAATCAATGAAGCGGAACGAAATGCAAACTTGATCTATAAGTAATCAAGGTAAAGTCACATACCAAAAATCAGCTCAATATCTGCAAGAGTTTAGAAGAAAATTGCGGAAAACCATTAAAAATAAAAAGATTATAATTCCGTCAAAAATCAATCTATAAGTAATCAAGATACACTCACATACCAAAAATCAGCTTAATATCTGCAAGCGTTTAGGAAAAAAAGTGTGAAAAATCAAGTGGGACAGACTGACAGACAGATTTACGGTCAGATGCAGAGGAAACTTATAGCCCCATACAGTTTCACCGGTAGGGGGACTAACAAGCTGGTTTTGACCACATCCCTCAGAAACCTAGGAAGAGGGGACAGTGCAATTCAGAAGTTTTGCTCTCATTCACTCACTGATGCTACATGTACAAACTAACGAATGAGGGCACATTTGATTTGGACGGAATCTGGGCCCACTGTGTGAAAAGTTAAAATTTCATTGATCCATGACGGGATATTTTAGCATTCTGTTAATATATTGGATTCCTGTGATATAGGAAAGGGAAATTTTTTTCCCAATATTGTGTTTTGATTTGATAAAATATGCTAAGAAATATGGTATGGCTACATGAGTTATTTGATACAAAAAACTTGCATTTTTGAACATTTTTCTGTAAATTTGTTTTCTCGGGGTCATCTCTCCATGATTTTCAAATGTTATTTGTGTACATTTTAACTCCAGGAAACAAGCAGCTAATTAAGGAAAAATGGAGAGAAGATCCAAAGACAATAAAAAATGAACTCCCCCCCCCCCCCCAAATCACATTGTGTAAATGCACTGCTTTGTTGTTTTCAAACCCAAATTTGTTGTGACAATAGCTCAGTGGTTTATTTCATCCATCAATGAAGGTGATGAAATCGATAACTTTGGTTTGATCATTGCATGAAGCGTGTACTTTTTTCCCCTAAACAATCAACTTGAGCTGCTTGTCTGTTTGATTTTATTTATCATTAAAATTTAAATTACCGTAAAAGCAGAAATTTTCGTTGGGGATTAAATTTCGTTGTTAACAATTATCAACGAAATTAAATCCCACACAAAATTTTCATATGACTATATATTGAATAGGGTTACTTTTGAAACAACGAAATTTAATGCCCACGAAACCTTTTAAGATAACAAATCAACGAAATTTTATCCACACAAAAATTTGTGCTTTTACAGTAGATAAATTTTGATTTTGTTGAACAGAGTGAAAGAAATTTTAATACAATTGCATTTTTTTGGAAAGGTACCTGTATTTCAATGTGATGCAACATTTTCCTATGTGGGTATCTTTAGTTAACTCTGTCCTCTTGTGGTCAGAAAACCATCTGCTTGACTGGAAATTTAAACTATGAACTTTGTACACACCATTCCTGCAGATTACATGCCAAATGCACCATTCTTTTATGACAATAAAATTGGATCCTCAATTTCAGAGGAAAAGCATATAGGTGTAATGGTTTGGGTTGTGGATATCGGCCTGGGTAGCTCAGTCGGTAGAGCACCTGACTAGTGATGCAGGGGTCTTAAGTACAATTCCCAGTCCAGCCATACATTTTCATCTTTCCTGTTACAGATTTGGTGCCGTGGTATCACCGCTGGACTTGCAGGTGAAAGTCCTGCCAGGGGCTAATAAGAACTTGGGTTGTGTCTTCAAGGGCAAAGACAATTTAAGGAGGGAGGAATATAATGGTTTGGGCCATGGATATTGGCCTGGGTAGCTCAATCTATACAGCACCTGACAAGTGATGCATGGGTCTTGGGTAGGGATGGGTATCGGCAAAAATTTCATATTGTGATATATCACGATTTTTTCCCAAAAATATCACGATAAATCGTGATATTTTTACACTCAATTTTTACTACAATTTAAAATGAATTTCCATCATATTTCTTAAAAATATGCTATAAAAACATAACTTTACTTTCTTTTTAAATTTTCATTTGTTTAGTATATAGCATATTTTGATGCCGTTGTTTAATTGTTTTCAACCTTATTTACACTTCCTATAATTGTCATTCAATACTTTGAACAAATACATGAATAATTTCCGGAATTCATAGTTATGTACCAAATACCGGTATTTTAGTCTCCGTATCATGATACGTATCACGCAATGAAAAATCGCGATATACCGGTATACCGATAAAATCGCGCATCCCTAGTCTTGGGTTCGATTCCCAGTCCAGCCATACATTTTCTCCTTTCCTATTACATAGGACTGGTATAAAACCAACAGACAATTCATATCACCAGAGTAAATTAAATATTAGTTACTTAAGAAACTCACAATACCCACAATTGAGAGCCATGCATATGGAAAACATTTTCTCTCTTAATGTTTACAGTTAGGAAATATACGACCAGAACATTTAAAAGGTTTGAAAACGTTGGAACTCTACCAATATACATAACACTTTGAATACAAGATAAAAATTATGTCCCACTAACAAGAAATAAACAGGAAAAATGTTCAGACATTATTAAAACATTTATTCTAAAAGAAGACAAAAAGTGTCAAAGTGTTCAAATGGTGGAACTTAAAGCAAGTCAACATAAAAGTATGGCATTAAAAAGACTGAGATTACGCATCATAGAATCATTACTTTAGTGTCTGAAAGTACTACGGCAAAAAAAAAAAGAAAAAAAAAGAATGGTTTTGTTATATAGTTATTCCTTGTATGAGATAATCCCTCCTTTTTTTGCCTCAAGACAATTGGTATTTAGAGGTAGATGTATAAATGACAGCAAATGCACTATTCTGTAAAAATGTTAAAATGAATGAGAATGTTGTTATACATGTATTTTTATGAGTTGAAATAAAATGTACAATGTATGGCTATTTAAAACAGTAAAATGTGCATGGAGGGAAAAAAAGTGAAAACATTGGTTTTTAAAAGAATCTCATTATCACAGATAGACTTAACATTTAAAACTAGACAGCTGTCAATCAAAAAAAAAAAAAATAAACAATCTTCTAAGCATAGGTTAGGGTCATGAAAGCTTCAAATTCCCAAGGTCATCTGCAAGGTCAAGTGTGGCAGCATCATTCTGAAAAATATCAGAAAAGAAAAAGAGGTCTAATTTGAATTCAGAATTCTACACCACATTTGACCTTACAAACACCTTAATAATTTTTTTTAATTGAATGTTTTGCTATGTATAACTTGTCAAAAATAAATCAATTTCTCAGGATGCTATTTCCATCAAATTGCTTAACACTGATAGTCAATGTTTAAACAACTGTAAATTCCAATGCGTATTGAGTGAGAAAGCTGAATTGTTCTGTCGTATCTTTCTTACGAGTGCCATTACCCCCATTTCACAATAAACCTGCATGTTTTCATTACTTAGAACCATGTGGATTTTCACATTAATCCTCTATACATGTATCTAAATGTTTTTTTTTAAAGTGTAGAAGAAGATGCCAATTCCTTTTAGTATCTCTCCAGCTGTCAATAAATACCTCATAAAATTCTATATCTGATGTTTCTTTATCCAACATTTAAGTGGAAAACAGGAAAAATAATTCAAATTATCCTGGGCCAGAAATTTTAGATGTTGTCCATCCTGGAGCAGTGAAAATTCCACTATTTGTTTTTGTGTGTCCCCTGTTGGTATATACATGTACATACCTGTTTGTTGGGGGTGATGGCCTTGCCCTTGATTTGTAGTGCTGGGTCATTAACCTCCTCCCCCTCCACATCATCATGTCCTACTTCCTCCTGTTACAATAGATAACAACATACTCTTATACAAATTTATGCCTAGATTAAATGTTTTGAATGTTTTTATATAAGATTGATCTTTAAAATGTGTAACAAGGTTATCCAGAATATCAATCTCTATGTACAGTTATAATACTGTTACATTGATATAGAGGAATCTTTTTCCCACTACAATATAATGTACCACAGGTATATATCTGTTCAATTAAATTCCTACTCATTAAACTCACATCATCTGACTGGTCCCCTCCTCCATCCTCTTCCTCAGATCCTTCATCATCACTGTCAAAAATAAAATCTCTTTGTAATAAACCTTCTTCTTTCTTCAATGTAATACATATATTTAATGCAATTCTGTCAATGAGAGTAAATTGGATTATAATGTTCCAAGAAAATCAAAATTTTATAATGAAACATGTACTGGTAAAAGAAACTATCAGAAGCTACCCAAGCACAAAACTTTATCAATAACAGCTTAGTATTCTCATTTCTTATCTTTCTCAGGTCTTTGCCATTATTTTAATACTACATGTATTTTCTATGAAATGTTCAGCGATAACTTTAGCCTGGCTGGGGAAAATAAGCAGCAGAACAGACCTGAGTGATGCAAGGATATCCAGTTTACCCATGGCCTCCATAGTTCCTTTCACTTCCTCAATGCCATCTTCACCAAGCATATTACCTATCATTAAATGCAGACAATACACATGTATATCATGCCTGAGAAACTACATCCTATATGTATTACCAAGTTACTATGATGGGGATAAATCTTTGTGTAAAGAACCTTCTTCATACTTAAATGTAATATTGAATGCAACTCTGTTGATAAAAGTGAATCGGCTTATAATGTTAAAGAGAATCAAAATTTTATAATGCAGCAGCAACATGAAATATAAATTATCAGAGGCAATTCTTAAGAAAGCACAAAACTTTATCAATACATGTACATTTATAAACACACACACAAACTTCTCTCCTGACTTACAGTTGAGGTCTAGTCTAGTTAAGTTAGCTTTGTTTTCCATGTTTTCAGCCACAATACTGGCTCCCCGTTTGTTGATTTCATTTCCTGATAAATTCAGTTCCTGTGAATTAAAGAAGGAGCAAATAGCCAAATTTCCTTTTTCAGAATGGAATATTAAATATCCCCTTTCTACAAGAATTTTTATTGCATGGATTACTGAATGAAAAAGGGAAATACCTTAAGCTTCTGGTGTCCTTCTTTCAGAGCATTTGACAATGCTATTGCACCTTCTGTCCTCACTAAACAGTCACCAAAGTTTATCACTTCTAAATTCTGTAGCTTTGGTAAAACCTACAAAAAATCATTGCACAATGTATGAAAGGTAAAACTAAACACTAATATTGATTTGTTAATCAAATAAAAAAATGCTGAAATAAAACACAGTATTTTTTTGTCACAATGACTAGACTACCTGGCCCTGCCTTTATTATTATTCAATCTAAATGGCAAGGATTGACTGCTTAAGATTTAAACATATCCAGTATATCTATAAAAGATATATTCCATGGGGCCCATGGACCATAAGACTTCCCAGAGTCACACCCTCTTCAATGAATATATGCATATATAGATAAATGAGATCACTTACTGTGGTAATGAATTAACTACTTTACTATGACTAGTTCATGTTCTTTAAAGATTTTTTCTGTTTATCCAATGGAAAATTGTGGATCTTCCCCTATGGGGCGTGATTTGAACAAACTTGCATGATCACTATATTATGAAGCTTTTAAGTAAGTTTTGTCCTTTCTGGTCTAGTGGATCTTGAGAGGTAAATTTAAACGACCCCAACTTATTTGTTTCTTAATTTTCTCCCCTTGAAAATAGGTCCTTTATTTGAACAAATTTTAATTCCAATCTCACAAGAATGCTTTGTGGCAAGTTTTATTAATACTGGTCCAATTCTGGAGAAAAGATGAAAATGAGACAAGTTTACTTACTTACACATACTGTACATTCATACAAGTATATACATATTCTGGACAATCACTCACTTGAGCCCCTGGCTTAGGTGAGTTATAAAGCTTTACTACTCACTTTGGCCATGTTTTTGGCTCCTTTCTGTGTGAATGTATTGTCACTAAGATTCATGACTCTCAGGTTTTTGTTTTCTGCAAAGGCGTCCGCCAGGGCTGTTATTCCCTCTGCATAAATACCATTCTGTGGCATTGCCACCTCTTCTAAAGAACCTAATGCCTGAAAAATAAAGATAAACACATTTATTTGAAAGACGGTAAAGTGTCTAGATTCTTTATTTCACTGCATTTGAAATTTAAGTGGATGGAAATTTAAACATTCATATATTTTTAAAATGTTTTTTTAAACACAGACATATGCAATCAATGATAACAAAGCTCTACTCAACAAATATTATCTATAAGTTTAATAGACAAAGTCTCTTACCAAATGAATATTGAGTAACATTCATTATTTAGATGTGATTCATTATTATTAGGGATGTCAATTTTGTCCATTTTTCATATTCGAATATTCGATGAAAGTATTCGAATATATTCGAATATTCGATAAAATATATAAATTCTGGTTTATTTTAAATATGCATATCCTACTCTCATGAAAAGTTCATAGTAGGTAATCTTATATTGGAAGTAAAAATGTATGAAGACTTAAGTAGTTGTAAAAATGTATGAAGACTTTTGTAGTTGTACAATAAGGGTTTCCATTTGATATTTGTCAATGTTTTAAATAAATAATTGATTTAAATGTAGAAAAAGTATAATTTTAGCAAATGATACTTGTGTATTTATAGTAGTTCCAACTGAGAAACCAGTCGTCTTACCAAAGGCAAGATAGTCGTATACTGTTTAGATTTCAATACGTGCAATTAATTGCAATTATCAGCCTAATAAAAGATATGATTATTATCTTTGATACAATGTTTTTAAAATATAAAAAAAGATTTCCATAGACAATTTTCCTACGTAATTAACTAATTTCCCGATGATAAATATAAAATTCAGGTTTATGTACAACCCCAGATAATCAAGTTTATTTGCACATTTATACTGACATTTAGCCCTTTAAAATATTAATTACAGACTAATTCTATCGGACATTCATTCAATGATCAATTAAATTTGTTTTGATAAGTATAACTCTTCACGTCTTTTACACATTCTAAGATTCTAGATCCGATCGTATTTAACTAATAAAAACTATGAAAGTACCTTTTGTATTATACATAAAGATTATTGTATAATTTAACACCTTATTCAAAACAAAATAATTTAGTAGATATATAAGATAAGAAAGTATAGATCGACATTGATCGCTAGTAAATTAAACAGGAAGAATTCCAGCACTGTTCTAATAAAAATTTTTAAATCACAGTACTTCTTTTCACGAAATCTGAAAAACACCGAATATTCGAATCTTAAATTTATATTCGAATATCAATTCATCGAATGAATATTCGAATGTTCGAATATTCGTTGACATCCCTAATTATTATACATGTAGGTCCTTCACTAAATAAGTAAAAATACACCTCATTTGCAGCATCTTAAGAAAGTGGGTTAATATGCATGCATCTCAAGATGCATCATCCATGCAAATTTCCTCAAGGTAGCCTGAGGTAGGACATACTGTATAGTTACTTGGATATTGATCTGCTCTTTAACTTTGGCTATGCACTTACTAATTCAAGAACATATACAAGTAGATCAGTGGCATCATCCCACTGGTGGTGTTGCATCCCTAGAGATGTTATCCATTCAAACTTGGTTTAGGTTGGGAATATTCAGTAAGGGGTCTGCTCCAAAACCTAGAATCTATAGGTTATTAACATAGGTCAGATGCAGAATCCAAAGCAGGTCTGGTAGTTTGCATCCCTGGATGCAACACCCAAGCATGTTTGGTATAGATAGGGCTTACAGTTTCTTGGGAATGGAAAGGCTCCAAAAACTTAAACCTGATCAATCTTTGAGAAATTGTAGGTCAGATGCAGCATCTGAAGAATGTCTACTAGTGTGCATCTCTATATGGATCATCCATGCTAGTTTATTCAAGGTAGGGAATGTAAATAATTGAGAATTTACCTGCTCCAAAAATTTAACTTCTTCATTCAAAATATAGGTCAAATGCAGCATCTGAAGCAGACCATTAGTGTGCATTCATAGATATAGCAAAAATGCAAGTTTGGTCTGGGTAGGTCTTATAGCTACTTAGAAATGACCTGCTCCTAAAACTATGGTGGGACACTGAAAGCACAAACACATTTCGACTTCATCAAGAAGAGCTAAAATTAAACACTGAAGCTTTATGTAAACTGCTATATGTACCTAAATTTATAGTGGTATCTGTAAATTCCTCAAGATACAATAGTGACAGCTATATTTGAAATGGAGTAGAAATGAGAGGATAGGATTCTTACTTTAAAAACTGCAGCCAGTGCTGTTGCTCCTGGATTTTCTAATCTGTTTCGACCAGATACAAAGACCTTAAGTTTGAGAGGTTTACCAGCCTTATCACTGTTTTGATGGCACTCTGTAAGGCATTCAGCCAACATCTGTGAACATACATGTACATAGGCATTTTAAAGAGATTATGCACTTTTTAAAGTACAAATCACTTCCAGTCAAAGAATTTCAGAGACAAACCTTTCCGCCTGTGATACCCAGTCCATTGTTGTTTAGACGGAGCTCCTGTAGTGTATAACAGCTTGGACTCTTCAGCAGAGATACAAGTCCTACCACACCATTAGGACCAAATGCATTATCACTCAGATCCAACTCTACTAATCCTGCACCAGCCTTTATGATAGCTGCTCCTAAAAATTCCTACATAATAGGAATCAAACCTCTTAATAAAACACATACATGACCTTTATTTGTAATGGTAAACATGTTTTAAAATTTTATTTTTAGTTTCTTAAAAATTAATTAAGCCAAAAAAAATTAATCAATAGTTTCTCAGGCACTGCCGCATCAGGTCAAACACTACTGCATTGATCAATTTTATTGACATATTGAAAAGGGAAATAACTTAATACAGTATTTTATTAATTAACTTTGCTTGGAATAACATTATTTAAAGTTGAATGCATAATTAATGAGGGAACCAAAAAAGTAAGAATCAGTTGATATCATCATTTTGTTGAAAGACTGACATGGAAAAAAGGGTATAATACCTATAAAAAAAAAAAAAATTAAAAAAAAAAATGCCTGTCGCAATTTTGAAATTTTTGGCCTGAGAAACTATTATATTAATTATTTATGGCCTAAAAGAGATGAATTTTTAACAATATTGCTGATTGGACCTTAAAATCACATGAATCACCTTTGTCTGATGTCATACTTGAGAAGAATTTAAAGCCTTTTCCTCCTTATTCCCATGTTCAACTTTCATACTTTATTGTAGTTGTGCCCTTGCCCCAGGAATAATGACTTAATGAATTTACCAAAACAGAAACTACTTTATATGGGGATGACATGTATTTCAATTTGATATATGTGATTGTTCTTCAATGCCTAGATTTTTCTTTACAATTTCCCTCTATACAAATCCGACCATTATTGTGAAACCCTGGGTCATGATTTGAACACACAGATTCACTACATGGGGATATTTCTATAAGATGAATTGTATCCCTTCAATTCTTCTTCAGAAGATTTTCAAGATCTTTTCCTAAATATTCTAATGTAAAACTCTGACCTCTATTGCAGCCTCATGCTAGCTCCATGGGCCAGGTTTTGTATCAATTTGAATCCAACTCGATATGGCAACTTTCACATAGTCTTTGCCCTTTCTGGTTCAGTAGTTCTTGAGAAAATTTTTACAGAATCCCATCATATTATTTCATTATCCCCCTTAATAACTGAAATGACCTTCAAATGAATAAATTTAAATCCACTGCAACTTATATATTTTGTGTAAAAATCAGATGATGTTGGCCATGTGGTACTGCAGAAGTCAAAGTGAAAAGTAACAAATGACAATCCAGCAAAACAGATACATTATAGATGCATTTTGATCAGAAAATTTCCCTTGAGTCTTAGTCTCAAATGATCTTAAATGATGACTTTTACATACCAAAGCTTTAGGTATTTCACTTTTAAGTCTTCCAGTAAACATGTCACTCCAGTGTGCCCTCTAAAACAAAATACAGTTTACATTTATATAAACTTGTCTTAGCATTTGCAGCTGAATACTCAACTATTTATACTCTTTAAAAATTTAAGTTCAAACAGTCAAAATTATCAAAATTATCATAACCTAAAATAAATTTTGTCTCAGTTAGGTAAAAAAAATCACTAGGAGAAAATTTACTTTAACTTTTTTCCCCTTTACTTATGCCAAATATATATACATGTTATAAACAACATAAAACTACCTCAAATTCTGGATGTTTCTCCAGTGCCTTTGCAATGGCCTCTGCTGCATCAACTCCTAGTGTATTTCCTTCCATCCGCAGTGCTGTCATTACTTTACATTTTTCTATCTCTGCGACAATGTCTTTTGCTGTAATTCAACCAAGAAAATTCAAGTATGAAGTCACAATCGCCATGCACTGTGCATCTATTAACTGTATAAATACCTTCAACATCCTGTCACACTGTTTGTCACTAAGAAAATCAAATATGTCGGGAGGGGGGGAGCCCTTTTTTTTTGATATAGTGATAAAGAATGTAGATATACACTGCTTACTCTGACAAGATTTAAATTATCATCTCATTAAAAAGCACTTCTCTACTCTTAATTTTGATTTAGCATATTATTCAAAATAAAAAAAATATTTCTTATATGTATTTGTACTATTATAATACAATTAAAATGTAAATTTGAGTTTAAAATATATATTACATTACTTCCTTTCTTTTAATACTAAAAATCTTTTCTTTTATTCTTAAACAATATTAATTCTACCTTTCCCAAGAAACAAGAAAAAAGATGTAAAAAAAATATCAAAAGAATTTGAACGAAACTTGAGGAAAAAATACTTTGTTAAACATACTAGATGATTTCTACCATTTTATTACATTGTAAAAATATTTCTAGTTTTATCTGAATTAGACTTTTTTTAATCCTTCAAGAGTTATTTGCACATAATTTAAATCCGTGATGGAGAACTTGTGAAAAATGGATTATAAACAGCTTGTAAAGGTTGGTTTTCTTGTGACAGTTGTGTTTTTTCATCCTTCAAGAGTTATTTGCACATAATTTAAATCCGGGATGGAGAACTTGTGAAAAATGGATTATAAACAGCTTGTAAAGGTTGGTTTTCTTGTGACAGTTGTGTTTATTTATGTTAAAATTGATTATGTAACACATCTTATACATACATTCAGACATATTTGAGTCGAAATGTCAGTTGAATTGTAGGCCGTCGCCGGTTCTAAATTTATACGTTTTCCAGAATCAAAACATGAAGGCTTGCGAAGAGAAGTGGATGTAGTCGGAAGCCTGTCCACTTCTCTAAAGAGAATAGCACGTGCTGCAGCATGAAAATTAGCATATAAAGGTATACTTTTTATTACCAAAAAATTATAACTAAGTGACAATAAAAAGAATATCAAAGTTTCAAAAACTTCACACAAAGACTTTTCGGACATAGGTCCCCCCTTAAACATTAACCCCAAAGTAAAACGAGAAATTGCATTATTACCATCATCTGCGCCATTTAATTTTAACCCTTTTCCTTTAAAACTAAGCTCATGTTGTACGTCAACTTTTGTCTTGGCCAACTGGTCTGTAACACTAGAAATGTCTGTAGAACTCATGCTGATTTGTTCATTTGTGCACTGTACTTTCTCTCCAAACAACCATGCGCGCGATCAAGTTTTTAAACAAACTTCCGGTTGATTTTAAAGGTATCTCGCACATAAAAATATTCGTCCATTATGGTCGTGTATTTAAAAACAAACAAAGAAACAAACAAAGCATTATTTGGGATTTAAAATGAAAAATTAAGTGATATGCAAATATTTTTTATTGGCCTCTATAAAGTCATTGTACATTTGAAAAAAAATTACGAAAAATTTATTCATCAAAATGTGAATTATTTTATTGATACAATTAGAGCTTTTTCAAAAAGCAGAGAGTTAGCTTACCGTCTTTAGCAATAATCTTAAAGTGACACTGTGACGGACAAACGGGAAAATTGACAACACTGATGCCCCCGTATGGCAACTTATAGCAAAGGTTAAACTTTCTCAAATGCAAATCATATGTGTTGGTACCCAAAGAAAGGTCTTGTCTTGAGGAATAAACCTGTGAAATATGAAAGCCCTAGCAGCAACCATTGAATAGATATGGAAAAGGTTAAAGTTTTTTCAAAAGTATGTCAAACATCAAGGTCAAGGTCAAAATCAATGGTGCCAAAGGAAAGGGCTTCTCCCAAGAAATATACAGGTGAAATATGAAAGCCGAAGCACCAATTGTTCAAAATTTATGACCAAGGTTAAAGTTTTCCAAAGTAGGTCAAACTCAAAGGCCAGGGTCAAAAGGTCAAAGTTGTTGGTATCCAAAGGAAGGTCTTGTCACAAGGATTACATATGTGAAGTATGAAAGCCTAGGCCTATCACCAACTGTTCAAAAGTTATGGCCAAGGTAAAAGTTTTTTAAAAAAAGGTAAAACTCCAAGGTCAAGGTCAAAGTTGTTGGTATTCAAAGAAATTTCTTGTCACAAGGATTACATATGTAAAGTATGAAAGCCCTAGCACCAACTGTTCAAAAGTTATGGCCAAGGTTAAAGTTTTTCGAAAGTAGGTCAAACTTCAGGTCAAGGTAAAAGTTGTTGGTATTCAAAGGAAGGTCTTGTCACAAGGATTACACTTGTGAAATATGGAAGCTTTAGCACCAACCGTTCAAAAGTTATGGCCAAGGTCAAAGTTTTTTTAAAAAAAAAGGTAAAACTCCAAGGTCAAGGTCAAAGGGGCAAAGTTGTTGGTATTCAAAGAAAAGTCTTATCACAAGGATTACATATGTAAAGTATGAAAGTCCTAGCACCAACTGTTCAAAAGTTATGACCAAGGTTAAAGTTTTACAAAAGTAAGTCAAACTCCAAGGTCAAGGTCTAAGGGTCAAAGTTGTTGGTATCCAAAGGAAGGTCTTGTCCTTAGAATTGCACTTGTGAAATATGAAAGCCCTAGCACCAATTGTTCAAAAGTTATGGCCAAGGTTAAAGTTTTTCAAAAGTAGATCAAACTCCTAGGTCAAGGTCAAAAGGTCAAAGTTGTTGGTATCCAAAGGAAGGTCTTGTCACAAGGATTACATGTGAAGAATGAAAGCCCTAGCATCAACCGTTCAAAAGATATTGCTAATGTTAAAGTTTTTCAAAAGTAGATCAAACTCCTAGGTCAATGTCAAATGGTCAAAGTTGTTGGTATCCAAAGGAAGGTCTTGTCACATGGATTACACAAGTGAAGAATGAAAGCCCTAGCACCAACCATTCAAAAGTTATGGCCAAGGTTAAAGTTAGGAAAAATTTTGTAAAACTGGGTTAAACTCCAAGGCCAAGGTCAAAAGGTAAAAAATGATGGTACCCAAAGAAAGGTCTTGTCACAAGGAATACACATGTGAAATATGAAAGCCATAACTCCAACCAATCAAAAGTTATGAGCAATGTTAAAGTTTTTGCGGGCAAACAGACAGACAGACGGACAGGGCAAAAACTATATACCCCTGAATCTTCGATACTGGGGCATCAAAAATGGGAATAAATTAGCAAATTTTACAATTAAGGCACAATGAGAATGATTTTTTACCCACAACACAGGAAAAAAGACAAAAGGGCATGTTTTCATTACCATAGCTCACCTGTACCTGTAGCTAAGGTGAGGTACTGAATGAACAATAAGGACATCCGAGATGTGGTAATCAGCTATAATTGATTCTTTTTTTTTCATGTAATTTTATATTCTGTATCAGTAATCAAGAAAAATCTGATAAACTAACAGTTGTAATTTAATCTAAACAATTACAGCTAAGAATTTGACTGTAATTAATCATAATTATTTTCCGATTACTTTTTTAAAAAATAAATTATGAAAATGGAAGATGATTTTTTCTTAATCTTCCTTGGTTTTTATGGTGTGTCCAATAGTCAATCATTGTTATACCCAAAAACTCAAAGATATTAAAATACTTTATATAGCTGTAACCCTTAGCATGCATTTTTAACTATTGGCGAATTGATGATAACGATTATCCCATACAGAAATGTTTTAGAAATTGCAAGTTTAAATATGTCCATGCAAGCACATTTCATATACCAACTTAAGTTGAAGGGTAATTAAGTGAAAGCAAAAACTCAATTATGCAGTTCAATAACTTCTGGACAATTACAAAAAAACATATCCCGTTCCTTAACACTTTAAATATTTTGACAACATCTGATGTTAAAATGCATTTCAATTGTATATTTTAACTTTTTTTTCAACGCATGTAATGTAATTATATATATGCTCTTACTAGACTCTTTGTGTACCACTTATATTAATTAATCATATAACAATAATTGATCCACTGATTGTTACGATTCATTTCACACTGTGACCCATGCATGTTCAAATGTTTGCCATATTTATCATGTATGGAAAGGGTGTACTAATTAAGTTTTTAATTAACACATTAGCCCAGTATATTCCATTTGGGAAAAAATAATTGTATTTTAATCAATTATCCACAAAAGAAATAAACAAGAAGTCTGTGAGCCAATGCTCACTAATAATACCCCCGCTCTGATGTGAATACACAAGTTCATTTTTGGGCAAGCACACGGAAAAACAAGAAGTTGACATCAGATTCATACAAAAATGAATCCCATCATATGACATGCCTAAACAATGAGTGTGCTAAACTTTCAAGCATCTGCAATAAGTAGTTGCTGAGAAATCTGCAACCAAAATTTGTAATGTATGGTACAGACAGATGCACAGATAAACAGGAACTTGAAATCAGATTCTCACAAAAATGAATCCCACCATATAGCATGCCTAAACAAAGAGTGTGCTAAACTTTCAAGCAGCAGCGATGAGTAATTGCCGAGAAAACTGTGACGAAAATTTGTTATGTATGGTACGGACAGACGCACTGATAACAGGAAGTTGACATCGGATTCTCACAAAAATGAATCCCACCAAATGGCATGCCTAAACAAAGATTGTGCTAAAATTTCAAGCATCAGCGATGAGTAATTGCTGAGAAAACTGCGACCAAAATTTGTTACGGACAGACAGACACACACACAAGGGTAAAACAGTATACCCCCCTCTCCTTCGGAGCGGGGGTATAAAAAAAATAATTGAGCATGTTTGAATGAACTTTTAACCAGCCATTATCTTATTGAAATGATGACTTTAGCATGTAGAAAAAGAAAACAAGAAAGGTTGATTTAGTTTTATAAAACTCGTGTTTATTTTTAAAGCTGTTCACTCATTGAAATTAAAATGTTGGCACTAAAGACTTCTTTTTGTACTAAATATACAACTGAAAATCTTGTTCAATTCAGTTCAGTTCAACAAACGTGATGGACATTTACTAATTTTTTATTGATACAATGAATTTCACAAAGAAATAAACTATACATAATAAAAACAACCATAAAAAGTAAAATGATCAAAGCACTAAACCTGTAAAATTAATGCACATTTTAAGAACATTCAAAATTGCAAGTATTATTTGAATGAAATACGTTGCCAATAAACACAGGGTAACATTATCTTAAAACAAGTAGAACACTTAATATTGCAGTCAAACAAGTATTTTTGGTTGTTCTGATAAAAGAAACTACACAGTCTCACATTTTCCCCCATTCTATACTATTAATTGATGTATATATTTAATTGATGTATATATTTCAGAAACACATTCAACATATTTAGTCAAATAACTTAAGTGAAGAACACTGAATGATTGAATGTATATATTCATTTCTTCTTTTCTGGCAAGACAATGCAACATATATTGTTGGAGTGAGCTATACCATGGCAAGTTCTTGTGGGGAGAGATCCTCTACAAAACTAGAGTGGTATCTGCCAGTGGTACCATCAGGCAGGCGCCCAACACACCAGCCAGGGTGGTCCAAATCCTGATTTTAAAGAACACAGAGGTTGGTCTTAGCGTAAATTCATTTCTTTGCATATTAATTATGTAATCAGCAAGCAAAGAAATACGAAACACTATTAAGACTTTAAAAAATGTATTTTCAATGTTTGTCTCTTTACATAATTTACATTCTCAATAATGAATGCTTATTAAGCTTCAAAAGAAATAGTGATGTGGATGTTGGTTTGGGGGTTTCTCCAATTTTGCCACTGTTTAATAAGTATTATTCTGATATAATTTAATTTTGGTTTATATAAAAATTTATATAAAATAGTTTATATCGTATAACCTATGTTGCCTACTTCACAACGACTTACGCCAAAAAAGTATCAATCCGCTTGATGTTACATTTAAAATATGTACAATTTAAAGGCATTTTTGAAGGATAAATTGTCTTATTCTTTACACTTAATGATGGAAAATTAAATTATAAGGAACAAATTAAATAGCTACCCCAGTTATACTGGTATAGCCTGGGTTGGAACAGTTTACACTTTTTTATAAATCGCTTCATGGTTTATAAAGCATAAACTGCTCCAACCCATATTATACAGTATTACATGTGTAGCTATTAAATTCATTCCTTAATTACCTGACTAATTTCAGTTATGAGACTTCCTTCATTGAAAGACAGCTCCCCTTCATTGAGAGCTTCATACCCAGACACAGCTTTCTTCATTTGGTGCCTGGAAGAAGTGTTGAATACAAAAGTTTACCATTAAAAGTAAATAATTTAATTTTGCTTGTAACGCGTCATTTGATCGGATAAAAAAAATAGTTTATATTGTATAACCTGTGTTGCCTACATCACAATGACTTGCATCAAAAACATATCAATCTGCTTGACATTACATTTGAAATATTTTCAGTTTGAAGGCATTTTTGAAGGAGAAATTGTCTTATTTTCTACACTTGATAGAAAATTAAATTATAAGTGTAACAATTTACGCTTTTCTAAAAACCACTTTTACAACAAAGAAGTTATAAAAAGATTTTTTGCTATATTATTCTGTGTAAAACTTTGAGCCCCTTATGTGTCCCTAACATTGCCCAAAAATTTGAATTTTGAAGAATTGTAGTTCTAATGTTCTTAAAAATTTTGTTTGAAAAATGTTCCTACAATTTCCTACACAAAATGTTGATCCCTATTATAATACTATCTTGTCTTGGGAAAGGGGGAGGGGGTTATTGAACAAACTTGAATATGAATGTCTTCAATTTGTTGTTTCTGAATGTATCAAACAGCCCCATCCTATCATTCATCATTTTCTATCTCTCCCAGACTTCAGTTGGACAAAGTTAATGAAGTAAAATTCCCTATACCTGCAGCTAAAATTCCTAGTAGTTCTCAAAATGATAAAAATTCAACTAATGACAGATGGACAATCGACACATTTTGATTAAAAAATCTTGAGCTTTCAGCTCAGGTGAACTAAGAGGTTTGTGTTGATTACCTTTGATTTGTGTGAACTGATGGGTTGTCTCCCCCTGCTCCTACTTTATCAGGTGGTACAAATGGTTTATTGGGTCTTGGTAACTTTGGGATGGCACTCCGCCCCCTCTTTGAGGGGCTACCCTTTTGGGCATCAGTAGGGGGTGCTTTGGAGTGACCATTCTGATTTTCTAGAGAGGAAGCCTTAGTGAGGTTACCCCTTTGTCCCTCTGTTGAAGGGGCAGTGGGAATCTTAGATGGCACTGTTTTATTGTCCACATCACTGGATTTCTTTTCTGGAGAATGATTTTGAGGTATTTTTGTTTTAGCACCAGAGTCAGAGGGTTTGCGAGTTGGAGATTTCCCTAAAGGAATGCGACTTGGACTAGCACTGGTTTTCCTTCGAGATGACACATTACTGTCAACTCTGTTTGGTGGATTGTCAGGTCTTTTGGGTTTGGGAGTTGGGGGTTTTCCCGGAGAAGCAGTTTCAAAGCCACCAGATGTGGTTGATGTCTGCCGAGTGAAATCTTTACCAATATTTTCTGCAGGTTTTCCAGACATTGCTGAACTAGGTCTTTTTGTAGCACCACTAGCTGTTTTGGGAATACGACTGCTGTTAGAAGACTGTTTCAAAGGAGACTTCTGGGGATTCTGTGGAACAGGTATGCTTGGTTTCCTAATATTAGAGCTAGAGGTATTTTGATTGTGACTATCATTCATGTATGAGGAATTATTATTTGAAGAATCCAAGCCATCATGTATCAAGATACTGCTGCTATCATCCTGTAATGATGACTGATCTTGTGAAGAATCAACTTCTGAATGACTGCGCTCTAATGACCTCAGTCGTTGAATCTGAGAAATCCTGTTGTGTGGTTTTGGAGCAACTGGAGGTGGACGTTCTTTAGAACGAGCTCGATGAGCATTGGCCCCGGCATCTCCTGAAAGCATAGGAAGGCGGCTACGTTTAGGACTAGGTGGAACTTTGGGGCTCTTCATGTCACTGTCAGTTTCATCTAATCCTGAAACTTCAGTGATGCTTGTCTCTGATTCTGGTACAGCACTGTTAGCATCAACATTTCCATTCACTTTCTTACCATCAAATATTGGAGGGTCAGAAAATTTAGGAGTTTCATGGTATTTTGGTGTTGAATGTCTTGCTTCACTGGGAGAAAGTTCATTAGGTTTGTTCTTAAAGGTTGATAGTGTAGAAGTTTTGTCACTTTGTTCCCTACTTTTTGGTTCAGAATTTCCACCTGTAGAATTAGGAAAACCTCCATTTTCACTCTTATTTTGCACAGAACTTTGGTCCTTTGATGAGTTAGATAACTGTAGAGCTTCCACCCCACTGATATCTGAGTCTATCATAGCAGAGTTATTCTGGCTGTTAGATCTCACTTCTTGGCTCTCTGATAGGGAGCTCTGAGTGCCATTGAGTTTACTGTACCGATTGCTCTCATCTTTACTTCTGTTGAGTGGACTCTTGGGTATGTGTTTCGGAAATTCTGGGCGAGGAGGTGGAGGAGACTTAGCAGCCCTAACAGAACTGGAAGAAGGTTTCAGGTTTATTTTCTTCTTGGACACTTTCACCAGTTTCGGTTTTATAAACCGTTTTGGTATATCTGGTTTAAAAGATTTATTAGCACCTCCATCCACTGAATCAGAGTCATTAATACTCTTGTTGTTCCCATTCAGACTGGAGTCTTGACTCTGGTTGGTTGATTTATCATTTGGAGTAGATGAAGTTTGATTAGCCCACGGTACATGTGATGGTGGTCTTGGTGGCTGTTGTTTGGGGGTACGTGGGCTCTTAGAATCTTTTGGAGGAGGTGGTGCTTTCCTGACTGGGCGCCTCCTGCTGTCTGTGGTGCCAGTGGAGCAGATAGATAATGTTTCCTCATCTGAGGTCTTGGATATGTTTGTTCCTGACCCCACCGATAAGAAGGAACTAGAGCGGACTCTGTCCTCCGATAGAACAGTGAGCTCACCTGGTCCTTTGTATTTCAGCTCTGTTGGATCTTCATCCACAAGCTGCAAAATATGGCAGACATCAGTATATTCATTAATTTAGGTATCATTGAAGAATTACTAAAAATGAACATTTGTGAATATATGTTTACAATACTGTAGTAAAATGAATGGCAATCCATTATAAGCCTGAATCAGCAAGAAATAACTCAAAAAGCTGTCATTAAATACTCAATATGACTGATCAAAATGAAAGTGCATGTATATGTATATGATAATTTCTATGATACTTTGTATTTTGGGGGGAATTAATGATGTGAAAACAAAGCACCTGCTATGTAGATTTGATAGTGAACTAAATGCTAAATCAGAATCCTAAAAGTATAAAATAAATATTGAAAAAGGAAGCAATCCATTTAATATACTGTAAATGTATTATATTTTGTGTTTTCGATACTTTGCGGAATAAATTTTTCAAGTTAGCACAGATTTTATTTAGCGCAATTCTGAATCTGCTAGTTATAGATATACAAACAAGACATATATTTTGCGATATACTTGATTTAGCAACTTTCTGTGAAAGGCACTAAATAGAATACATGGCCCTATGAAATATGTAACTATTACAGTAGTTAGAGATGCTTTAAATAGAGTCATATTTATTCATTAAAATCAAATAAAATGTAATTTCAATTAGTGACTAATCAGATAGGCTTAATGAGTAGGAAAAACACAGTGGGTGTAATATATGTATATATATGATAATATAGTCATATTGAAGCTGAACACACAATCCCAAAATGGGCAGAAAAAACTCAAAAATTCATACATAAGGTCAAGATTTCATGATTGATGGGAAATCTTTGTGTATTTTATATACTTTTGCATATTTTATATTTTTAGTATAAAATCTTTCATATAATCCAGTTTAAGCATAAACAAAATTGCTAATTGTATCCAAGTATCCTTTTGAATAAAAAAAACCCCCATGTTTCTAAATCATCATCAAGGGGTTAAAAAATTGTTAAAAAAAAAAAAAAAATTACTGATAAATAAAGAGAGTAGGAAGGTCTGTTCTACACCAAAATTGTGATAAATGATTTATATGAAATGATCTGATTTAGAACAGCATGTATGTTGTATGTATGATAATACAAAGTTAAGCGCAAAATGTAATTTTGAGTGATTCAGTGCTACTGCTACATGACTGTACAACTGTATGAATTACTATATTAAAACATAATAAACTTGACCAACATGTATTCTACATAAACATCCTTCCATTCTTTCACAATGTGATATATATATATATTTTTTTCAAACATCAAAAGCCAAATTATTCAAAAACATAATATGGCTTTTCTATAACAGTATAACAAAATATACTTGAACAAATACCTGACCATTATTTCTCAATGATCAGTACTGAAATGAAGACAGAAAAATGTCAGGTAAAAAATTAAAATCTTATAGATAAATCACCAGTGAAATCACCATCCTAAGAAATCATACCTTACAGTATGCATGCAATTCTGAATCCTAGTTATACCTTTTCATTTTTACAAAACACAATCCATTTTCATTCAGTTTTGAAATTGCAGTCTTCCATCTTTTCTATTGATAGTTTATATATTGTCATTGCTAAAGTTTCAGTTTTATTCTGTCTTGAAAATAGTAGATAAAAAAAAAACTGCACAAATAAATGTTTGAGAAAAAAAGCTGAATTACAGCAAATTTACTTTACAAAATTCAAATATAATTAAGTTTAAGTGTTGGAGATAATAAATCTGTCTTCATTTCAATATCAAACATTACAACGCAAACAAAATCACTAAATATCACATGCATGACAATGACTTCACCTCTGGAGGCCTAACTGCCTGTGAATGTGAAAATTTAACACATGTATACTTCACAAAAGAAAACAGACAAATAATGTGACAATGTGAAAACAACCTACAATAAGGAAGCCTTTATATTTCAGCTTTGTATTTTTTGAAAGTTTTCAATGTTTGTTACATGAGCGATGAGTTGTTAAGTATAACTGGTTTTCACAAAAAATCCAGAAAGTTGCAAACTTTTTGTACAAACCTGTACATAACTTCCTGGGAACCAGCCCACCTCGTCCCCTCGACTACCCCTCCACCAACCATTGTCATTGACTTCATACACAAGAATTGTGTCCCCTTTATCAAATGACAAATCATGTTCATCCTCTGCAGCATAGCAGTGAAGAGCTCGATGTTCTGTAAATGTGATAAATGTTTCACATTCTCCAAATACAACTCTACAATATATATGCTATTTATACTGTACATGTGGATATTTATGCTTCTTGTTAATTATTCAAATTTGAAACAAGAACATTGCACATGAGGATTATTTCCATGATTATCCAATTATGTATTAATTACTAAAACCAAATAAAATACATGTATGTTTGGAACGTAGTGAAATATTTACATAAATGCTTTCTAATCACATATTTAGCATAAATTTCCATGTTTACAGTACACTAACAGCAACTTTAGCCTTTAGTATTCATATAATTCGCTGCATGGTAATCATATGATTAAGCAGTTGAACCTGATAGATTTTATTTACCAATGCCAATGAGATCTTCATCATGGTGACTCGTCCTGTTGACATGTAGCTGTTTGTACACGGTCTCTTCATCAGGGTATCCATACTGAGAGAAGCTGGCTGCCTCAATATCCTCCTATATAGGTAACAATGTGTTACACATAGTCTAACTGTATTAGCATTCATATATTCTGGTCAGACTTTAGTTTCTACACATAGTGCTTATAGGTACATAAAATACATAGGTATTATAAAATTGATGTTACAAGTTCATGTACTATTTCCTCAGAGTACATTTATAAAATATCTATACCAGATAAAGCCCCTTGGTTTAAAGGTTGTCTGTGTATCATGCAACTTTATAAGCTAACAGGTGACCAAAAATAGATATCATTCAAATTTTACATTGCTCTGGTACACAAGTAATAGGCCCTTTGGCTTTAAAAAATGCCTGTGTATTATGTAACTTCAGGCTGAACCATTCAAGTTAAACAGGTGATCTAAATGGATATTATTCAAACTTTACATTTTCTGGTGATCCTTTGAATAAACAAAGTACAATTAAACTATATTTGATCTTATTGGTACTAACTGGTACTATTAAAATCAAACGTTAAATTACCTGGGTAGCTTTTTCCACATAAACAGCTGGGAAATGCCCGACTTCATTGGTGCGGTTTTTGCGTCCATACATCCAGCCATTGCGATCCTTCCTAATTCCAGTGACTATCTCCCCCTCATGGAGACTCATCTCTTCCTTAAAGTTAGCAGTATAGTTGTACAGCACCTTAAACTGGATCCCTTCTATAAAGAAACATTAATGGCATTGTAATTGTTACAAATTCTGTGGTATCTTATGCATGAAATTTTGATGGGCAGTTCAAAGAACATGACTTAAGACACCTGGAATTTTATAGATATCTAAGCAAAGAAAAAGTTTATTCTGGCCATGATCAAGCTTATGTCTATGAACACTAATGTCACAAAAATGGAAAGACATTCTGAGGTATTTGCTATTAATCTAACTATGTATGATTATTACATGTATAAACATTCAAATTAATTTATTTCTAATCTCTCTCTCCCCCCCCCCCCCCCCCCCCACCTTACACACATACAAAATCACTCCTCTCAATACTTTGCTAAACAGAAATGTCCCTTGAAAATAATAACAATTTTCATTTTTATAAATTCAAAAGTCTTACCTTTCCAAAACCCTGTATATCTTTACCTTTGATAAACTTACCAACATTGAAGTCCTCCTTGACAGGGGAGATGGTTGACCTCCTCTTTTTGATACCTGCCTCCTCCTCCTCCTCCTTTTCATCAGGTACATGAGGAATGGCCACCTCCTTACCAAGTGTGTGCTGCAAAATTAGAATTGTGACTTATCAGAGAACAATCTGACTCTTTATCATTTGGATATACATGTATATTTCTAAGAAGTAAGAAGACAAAAACCAACAAAGAGCAAGAGCCATTTAGGGCCTTTTTTGGCACTGAGAATTTCTGAAAAATAGAAACTGCTCAGTTTTGGTTGAAAATGCAGTATTTATAACTTGGACCCTTGGTGACCATGTATCTATTTAACATGACGTAATTAAATTTTTCTCTCTGGTCAATGCATTATGACGTCATAAAATGCGTCATTTTTCCCATATCTAGTAAAATCCCTTGCAAATAGCCAAAAGTTGAGGTATTTTTTTAATATTTCATATAGAGCACAACCTCTGATCCAAAATATGCAATTACATAATGAAAGATCTGTTTCTGAAGATCACAAAACATGTTTTAATTTTTGGATCGTGGGCTGTGCTCATATTTTAATTCTTTGCTGAAGGAAGTCAAATACGCATGTTTTTTGTAAAATTCAAGAACATTGCATTTTCTCAAAGCCTGTTTTCCAGTACCTAGATTCTCAAAAAGAAATTTTGTTATAGGAAATAAAAGTACTAAGTCTCTACTTTATTTTGATATATGAAATGGGACAGAGAGTGATAGTCAATTAATTGATATAAGGACAGGGCCATTTTATGCATAAAGTGAACCTAGCTCTTTACCAAGCATTTGTAAAATATGACTTCTTGTGCTTGTGAGCTACCAATTATCTATAAAAATGTCATTTTATAGAGGAGGGAACCCAAAATAATTGATTACTTACCCTGGTTAGTGTGGAGCCTTTGCTAGATTCCCTCTGGAGTGTAGATGCCCTCTTGGTAAATCCTGTCTCTGGGGACATAAAAGAGGACACTGGGCGGGGGGCATTTGTGTCAGTATCAAGGAGTATTTCAAAAGGCTGTGTTCCATTGCTTAGTCTGTTACCTATGTTAATTATGAGCAGTAAGACCCTTTCATATATGTCAAATGTCAGCTACGAAAGTCAAAAGTAGTATCTTTTTGGAGAATTTAATTAAAATACTAAATGGTGCAAGTGTGCAGGTTTGCATTTTTTTTTTAACTATGATGTTTTATTTTCATTATTGGATAGATTGAGAATTTTGTCACTTCAAGAGTGAGGATTGTTTTAGATCAGCTAACAACATCATAATATGCATCCAAAATATACTGCAAAATTACTTATTAATTTGAAATAGCTTATCCAATATTTAGCCCAGATATAGGCTAATATGCTTGACTATTTTGTGCAAATATAAAAATTGTAACTCTCTCGGGTAACCTAGGAAAAGCTTTCATGTTGCTTGCTTTGTGGCAACACTGGCTAATTTTAGACAGAAGACAAAAAGTTTTACAAAAAGGTATATGAATCACTCTACTGCACAAAAGATAGGATTAACAAACAATGACTTACTCTTATCAAATTCCACCTCTGGTGGGGCTTCTTTAACATACGTTCCTGGAAAAAATCCTGTTTTCCCCCTCAGACTTCCTGTCCACCAGCCATTATCATCTCTATTGGTAACCACAACAACATCTCCCTCCTTCAAGGTCAGATACTCTTCATTCTTTCCCTCAAAGTTAAAGATCGCAACATATTTTTCGTCAACTAAAGGAGGAAGGTAAAAAAGAAATGTAAGTTCATACCAGGTAATCAATTATAGACCTTTACAAATTATTTTCATTCAGTTAGATTTTGTTTTAAATGCTCTCTATAGATTAACCTGATAAGGACATCAAAAAGATTTTCAGTTGTCCTTTAAATATAGTGCTAGTCAAGGACAAGTTTACATCAACTATAGTCATTTCAAATACCAGCTTGAAAGCTAGTCTTTAACCATCATTTGCTAAATGGAATTTCATTTTTTTCCCTCAAAATTTTATTAAAATCAATATCTGATAATGACCTTTAATTTACAAGTTCAAATTGGAAAAACTAGGTCATTTTTGCATTTATTCAGACCTAAATTGCCTGTAGAAAGATCACTATGACAACTTCGTTTGAACCAGTGTACATTCCTTGTGCATGCAATTTTAGGTGGTCATGTTTCACCAATAACCTTTATAACCTTGAAAGTTCATGAAGCAATAGTAAGTTCTGCATAAGAGTCTGCCCTCAGATTTCAATTAGAGGTATATGCACAGGATCAGACCTAACACACTTAAAATACTCTACATGCTGTAGACATATTGATTTTTTAACTGAGTTTTTGTACAAGAGGTAACCAGCAGAACCATTAGCAAACTAAAAAAAGTCCGAAACTTTACTTTAACTCTCAGCATGATAAAATGTTGAAACAAAGCAAACTTAATCACAAATGAGGAATAATTACTCTGAGTGGGTTTCACAAAGTTCAACATCAAACACTTCTGACTCTTTCAGTATTAAATAGCACTAGGGGCTATACATCATTTTTTATCTTCCCAGCTGTAGAAATTAGCAAAGAGAATTAGTCACAATTGTGCATCTTTTTTTTGGTGGGAAGTATTATTATATTTATGTACAATGCTGATGCTACAATAATCAGAATAAACACTGCATTATATAGGCGCTAATGATGTAGAGTTGTACAACTATTCATTTATTACAAGATCTGGACAGATAAAATGTCTGCCTTAAGGCTGCAGGCCTGCCTCTTAAGCTTAATCTGTTTGGCAGCGAGCAGGAAAATAAACTATAATTAGTGCAAAAAATAACCTTCCTGTCATTATGGTGAAGTAATGCGCCTGTGTTTACATGCAGATATTAGTATGAAAGGTCGCAAAAGAGTTTCAACATTGTTATGCCACATTTCATGCAATATAAGTATAAAAGAACAGTCATGACTTCTTTTAAATACTATGTAAATGTTATAGAAATATGACAATAAACTTTTGTTGACCAAAAGAGAGTCACATTTAGATATCTCTGAAGGGGACTCTCAACTAACTTCAAGATATCTGAGGGGTCAAGATATCAAAGTTAATACATGTACTCAAATTAATACAGTAAAAACTGTCTAAGCCAACACCTGTGTAGTCTGTTTCACTGTGAATTCTGACCTTTATTTTCAATCCCATTTTTTCTATGTTCTTTACACCACGCAATCAGACATCCTGTCGATTCTGACACAAAATTTGTGTCCCAGACTCCCAGTGCATGTTGGATTAGACAGGTTTCACTGTAATACCTTTGAGACCATTTACTCACATCCATATATCTCATAGATACATGTATTTAACCTATCAGTATTCAGGAGACTATTGTACATGTACTGCTATATGGTATACCTTAAAACTGGGCAGGGTACATGTGAAAGGTAAATGTATTATCTTTCTCTTAAGATTGCATTAAAAATATACATGTTAACTTTAAACACTAAAATTTAATATGAAACATGCATTACTTGTTCTTCATTATAATTCATTAAATACGGTAGAAAAAAGTAAATTCAAATGTTATAAAAGGAACAAAGAAGCACAAGAACTGACAAAGAAAAGAAAAAAATACCCTCATCAAAAAATCTGACATTGTGTCTGAAGGCTGGACTGTAACTTCTCCTGACTGTAACAGAATTCCCAAACTAAAGTCATTCATAAATAATACACAAGCAAACATTATCCAATAATGTGACTTTTACACAAATTGTCAGATCAAATGTCATGCAATACACTGTTGACTTCAATATGCATGCACAGTGATGGACTATACGGAAAAATAGGATATAGCTGAAAACATAATATACTTCTACAATACATAGCATTCTATCATAAATCATATGAATAAAAAAAGCATACAAAGGAATACATAAAAAATGACACATGCTATATACAATGTGCAATTCTATTTTGGCAAGAATTGATGCTTAAGCCATCTTAAAGTTGTCTCCCCTACCTGTAGCTGTATTGAAATGGGTTATTCCATTTCTTAATTTAATGCTGCCCCCATCCACCTCACTAAAAGTCTTGATTTGGGGGATTGGGTCCACATGATTGAGGGGTACTTCCCTTGAGACCCATAGATCCTCTGTTACAGCATTAGGATCATATTTCTCTTGCTGAAAATACAGTAGAAACAGAATCTATTCTCTTTATGAAGCTATATCTTACACAATGTATACCTTTAGTCATGAGTATAGATACCAGTATATACAGGTCATGCAACATATTATGTGAACTTATAACTTTTATCCATTACACAAAGTGTCATGACAGTTAAAAATTTATCATTCATATTTCAAACTTTTTAAAAAGTTTGAAATGAAGTTTTATCAAGTCAATCTTAGCATCAAAACTTGATCAAAAATTTAACTGATCTAATATGTAAATACAGACATCTAGATGTGTAAGCTACCTGTGAAGTTTTCAAGATACGAAATCGTAATTTATGTCTAGGTTTCCTCGAGATCAGGATGTTTGTCACCTGATGATCTTACCTTTCCCGATTTCTTCCTCCTCCAACAGACACAGATTATAATGACGAGGAAGATGAGAAGTCCAGCTCCAATAATTGACAAGGCGATGATAAGCTCAAGTCCAGTCCCCAGTACTGAAAATGCATAGAAGGTAGAAACCATTAACAATTGTACACAAAAATCCCCGAGAGGCATCACTACATGATCCAGCGCATCTCCTCATCATCACACTAATTAACGTTCCTCTCTCATGACTGTTATTTCATATGCACACAAAATGCAAGCAGGCTTCTATCCTGTATATATTGTAAAACTTGCTTTTGAACCGACACAACAACTTTCTGTCTAAATCCTTGCTATTAGAAGTAATAGCTTTAAGTGCAGGCAATTACAAACATAGTTATAGAAAGGATCAATCAGCTGTAATATTTTTGTTTTTTGATGAGAACTTAACTGGCCAGTTCATCACACACTGACTGTGAAGAGAAGGATGTAACAAGGACTAAGTACTTCTTACAGAGTGGAAAACTGAGACAACTCCTATTTTTTTTTCATTGAGTATTGAAGTATAACGTCAATGGATCAAACCAATATATCATTTATACACAGAATGTGAGGAAGTATCTTAGACTTCCTAAAACAGGAAATTCACTGAACAGAATGACCTTGAGTCTAAATATATTTTTCCAAGAAGGTGAGCAGGAGTGGATTATCAATGTCATCGTGTCACGAACTTGAACAAAAAAATGTTTTTGCTAACTTTCTCCAAAGTTAAGCTTTCCTTCTAAACATAGTTGATTTGATGGTGATAAATTAATTCTTGGCCCAGGAAAAGGATTTTTTTCTTAAAAAAATCATTTTACTCCAGCATAGATCAACTCAAATATGGATCATGATACCTCATATGATGACACACCATTCAGCCATATTGTCATTAGCTTGGCTAAAAAAAATAGGCCAAGAAAGGCTTACTTGCCAAAAACATTACACCCAGTCCAAGCCGTAATGAGGGCTATGATGGTACATATATAATTTATTATCCTACAGTGAAACATCATATGCAAAATATGAATATGCCAGGTAAAAAAAAAGAAGATATGCCATAGATACAACTTGGTCAACCTGTAGAACTTGAAAAAAAAAGGTTAAGTTCATAAACTTCAGGAGAGAATTAATGAAGAAATATTTATGGTACAGACAGACAATTAAACAACCATAACACAGTTTCACACCCTGGGCCAATAACTATAAAGGATGCCTCCAGTCCATTTTATGAATGAATAAAAATTGTAGGTTAAACACCTCATAACTCACAGAATTTACCCTGGTCATTGATCTTACAGATGACTAATAGCCTTGTTCTAAGTTAGTCACTTAAAAGTACACCCAACTTCATATAATACAAATCTTTATTTGTCTTGGATGCTGAATAACATTTAAATAATAGTATGACATCCCTGACACAGTATCTCCAAAAGGTTTTCAAATGGTTTAAATTGTTTACTTATTTACTTTTGACCTTATAGACTATAAGACTTTATACAGTCAAACTTCATTATCTCAAACTCTAAGAGACCTAGAAAATACTTCCAGTTAACACAGGATTCGAGATATTCAGGATAAAATACTTTAGGAATAAGCAGTTTGGACTTCAAAATGACTTTAACATATCCATGGTATTCGAGATATCTGTGTTCAAGATACATAAGTTTAACTGTATGTGTATTCACATAAACATAAGAAGACTAAACCCCCCCCCCCCTCCCAATTTAATTTGGAAAAAAAAATTCTGTAGTTAAAAAGTTCATAATTTCAATATAAAAAGAGTTAAATGCATTGCAATATGATAAAATCTGAAATTGTAATACAGACATTTAACAGCTCGCTACAAAAGGTGTCATTATACACTTATCCACTGGCTGTGAGTGGGATAGCTCTTTTATCAAACCCTTGACAGGAACTATTCCCCGAGGGCTTGCCCTCGGGGAATAGTTCCTGTCAAGGGTTTGATGAAAAAGCTATCCCACTCACAGCCAGTGGATAAGCGTTTTACTATACTGATGTATATCATAATTTCTAAGGGTTTGTATTACTTGATACTACAGTTTCATAGGCAAAACATGAAAAGAATAATTATTAAAGTTTTGAACAAGTATTTGGAATAAGATAACACTGCTAGAGTGAGCTGAAATCCTGATGACGTCACAATGCTATTGACATCAGTCTGTAGAATGATTATAGGAAATCAAAATTGGCGGCAAAAATTGCATGAAAATTTTCTGAGGGTGGGTAGCACAAACTATACCCCAGGGTATAGCTTTGCTATCCATGGAAATTTTCAGACTATAAAAGATAGTTATTTTACACTTTTAACTTTATAAAGGAAACATTTTAACAGAAGTATAATAAATATCTTTATCCTCCTGCAACAACAACAGCACCCCCCTTTTAATACTATAGTTCCAAAATCCTGGATAATTCCCAGATCACACATTGCCTGAATAAAATTACAAGATATTCCTTAATCAAATTAAGAACAACCTATGTTGCATGTACATGTATGTCAATGAACACATTTACACTTGACCTCATACAAACACTTCTCTCTGAAGTGATTCATGTTCACATCTAAAAGAACTAAAGTAAATTAAGAGGTTTATAGGTCAAAAAATTTAAGCTTGGCCAGGTTTTATTTCATTTCTCATTCATTATTTTATCAGCAATTCATTTTCTAATTGTTAATGATAGCCTGAAGCATGATGAATTAAGGTATAGATGTTTTAATCTAGCAGTTTAATTGGCATGAACTGCCAATTAAACTTTTCTGTGAAAGAAGTACTTCCCATTTGTGCATTTCATGAGAGAAAGGGGGGGGGGTGCATATGATCTGATTAACAATCTTAAAAGTGATTGCAAAAATAAATAAATATTAGATATTGTGGGGACACAAGGGAAATATTTTTTTTTTCATTCCATTACATAACATGTAGCATACACTGTCAAACATCACCACCATAAAGTATCGAGGAAATGAAGCTATATATAAGTACATTACAATTAGAAAAAAACTGCATTTCAAATTTGGAAACTTACCTGGTGCTTGTGTGGCAGTGACTGTATCATTTGTCTTTTCTGTTGTTGATCCAACACCTGGTGGTAAAACTTTGCTTGAAGCTGGCAACACTGGAAGGATGCTGGTAGGAGAATGTGTCTCCATGGATGAAGATGGCAGGACTATTATAGGATTAGTACTAATGCCTTGGGTGGAAAGTGGAATTTGTGTTGGAGTGGAAGATACAAAAGGACTTGAAAAGGAAGACTGGGGTTGTGTGGAAGACATCAAAGTGGAACTGGCAGGGTAAAATGTAGGTGAAGATTCTTGTGATGATGTGGATGAAAATGCAACATTTGATGATGGTCTAAGACCAGTGGAAGATGGGATGGCGGTCTCTGATATGGATGATGACAATGCAGAGGAAGTTATCACTGTGGATTGGGAAGATGTTGTAGAAGGGGAAACTAATGAAGGCACTGAATCTATGTATTCAATGGATTTCTCAAGGATGGATGATAATATGGAAGAAGTTACATCAGGTGAAATGTCAGAGCTGGAAGATACACTGGATGATAGACTAGATTGTACAATATTAGAAGATAATTCTTCTAATCTCTCCACTAAATCAGTTGATGTCACTTGAGATTCAGAGAATGGTGTTGGTGTCTGGCTGAACTCTAAAACTGAGGAATCTGAAAAAGAACTTGGCATGAATGATGGAGACAGAGTCATGGAGGGACTAACTGTCTGACTGTTAGAGGAGGGATTTGAGGAGGGGGAAACAGTTGACATACTTGTGTCTGACTGCAGTTGTGAAGTGACATCCAAAGTCACTGATAAACTCCTAGGGATGTCAGAGGATGAATGTAGGTCACTGGTTGACAGAGGATAGGATGCATCTATAACTGTAGACATTACAGTACTTGAACTGTTTGTCTGAATTTCTGTTGTAGAATTTGCCATGATTTCACTTGTAGATTATAGATTATATAATCTTTACATATCAATTTCCATGTTTTGATTAAAGTTACAACGGAATTTGGCAATGAAAAATTTAATGTATCAAACAATGTTACACTTTCCTTGTTGGAAAATAAATTTTCATGTTATATCCTTTCCTCTCCGCCGTTGTTAGAAATGAAAACACAATGAATTACAACAAAACACTGAAAACTAAATGTTAGTTATAACCACATTAATCTCAACAGAACCAATAACAAAACTATTCCATCATATCAGTCTCTATAAACTTTCTCACACACTTAAACATTCCACTTCAGTTGCACAATTTAAGGCATTAATCATTCTCTAGCCATTTATCCTCCCCAGTATCCAGAAGCTAATTTTTTTTAACTTAAGAGTCACTTCACACTTTTCACTTTAAATATAAATCCCAATATGTCAGGAAAACTCCCGAGTAGATCATCGTCTTATTACAGATAGAGTACTGCTCCTCCTTCGACAAAGTGATCGTATTTGTAAACCCGAACAGAGGTTAACATGCTTAGACTAAATCCCAGAAGATAGCCTGGCTATACATGTCAAAAGAATCACTGTTTCTCAAATATATATCTAACTTCCTGCATCAAGATGCAAACCAGGTTTTAAGTCAGTGCGTCTTTCTCTCCAAATGTTGAATCACGTATGGTTTTCCTGTTGCGTCTACAACTTACTTCTTTGTCCACATTTTTTTGTAAAACATTTTAAGAGACTGTAATTTAACTTTCAAAAGGATATTTCTATCACAAATATTTAATCCAAATGTTAAATCAACATAAAAACTTTAAAACATCACAAATGATTAGCAGAAGAAACAAAACGATTGAAAAACGAAATCATATGAAGAGTGTTTACTTGTATCCCCATCACGTCTGGCAAATCTGAAAATACAGAAAAAAAATACTGCAATGAGTCACCGGGTTCTGTGTACTAAGTGTGAAAGCTAATCCTACAAACAAGGCATCTATATACATGTAATTGTATATACAGGAAAGTAAAATCATATATCCACATACATGTATAAATACATACTTAATATAATAATTCAAAATTGTAATTTTTGTCACTGTGAACAACGATTCTATGATTTTATTGCCACTGATCAATTCATCTCTCTCCTATTTAATAGTTTATATTAGTATTTTGTATTGTCAACAGAATTTTTTTTTTTTAAAGTCGTGTAAATTTCCTATCAAAGTATTGTACATACATGTAATAACAGATAATTTAATCTAGGCTGGAAGTGCTTTCTAACTCCGATTGTCTATAATTTTTTGTTAAGGCCCTCATCATTGCTATAATCATTATTAAGAGTAACATTTTTTGAAAAACAAGCTCACAATTATTGATCTTAATACAGGATAAAGTACGCTAGGCTATTAAAAAAATTATTTATATATTCATGCAGTGTATTATAAAAATAAAATCATATAAATTGAATTCTACTTCAATAAAGAGACAATTAAAGAATGACACATCAAAAACAAAAGATTTACACACTTCTATCATTAATCGGTAAAGATATGTTTGCTTTTCAGTATATTTACATTTTTGTGGCCATTATAAATGTTGAAGTTTTAATGGACATGAATTCAATTGCAGCACATCTGGTTGCATGTGCAGTAAACCCTCACCAATCACTGGGAAACTATGTTGTTATTACCCAAAAGAATGTGCAGCTCACAAACATCACAGAACTCTTTCTTTGTCATAAAGAAGCATGAGTCATACTCAGGATGCCTGCCTTCAGCAGCTGTTCATATTTTGACGCTTTTGCATAAAATGTACCTATTTCCCTACATTGTCTCTCTCAAGTGATCAACTTGTCAACAGCTATTACACTGCTTTCTAATTACTGGAAATTTCAATGTGCCTTAACACTTTTAAAAACATATAGAACATACACAAGAATGTGTATGAATACAATTTAAAATTCAATACCCCCACCCTACCCCACCATTGTCATAGAACAAATATGCACAATCTATGAACAAAAGTTATCTTAGAATATTAGTACAATCTGCAGTTGACAAATACCATCAACCTGCAGTTTGCAGTTTTCATGATGGGGCAAAATAAAAATTATTTTGGAAATTCATTTATTGAAATTTCTGTTGGACAAGCAAAATTTCAGTGGGGAAGTGAATCATGTTAAGCTACATGTACTTGCATGAAGGCAATTAAGTTGCTCTAAAATCTAATTTGTCCCTGAAAATGGAATACATATATTCAATATCTGACCACAAAATTAATAGCAAATAATATAAGAAATTCTGCTCCATCCATATTCTTACAAAATTCCGCTGTATTTAAGCTACTGGGCAGTTATTATTAGCATATATACATATGTAGTTAAGGTGGTCACTCACTTTCATTCACTATTTTAGCCAGTTTTAGAAAATCTTCAAGCATCCCTGATTTAAATCCTAATCCATTTCAATTTTTTTTAAAATCATTCATGATTTCATATAAATGAAGGGACAGAGAAATTTAGCCAAAGTTAACCATGCCCCATTATACCCTAGATGCAGCAAATTTTAAACATACCTCTATATCTAAAAACACATGTACAGTACACTTAGTTTCTTCCCTGTTCTGAGTTATGAAGTGTCAGATATTATTTCCTAGTTTGAATTTGTTTACATCTTTTTTATTTTTAGTGTGAATCTCAGTCATTTATCAGGTAACAAACATGTCTTGTATCAGTTAATGAAGGAAGAAAATGTTGTCTGTGTTCATTGTTAAGACTTTCAGTACCAATTACTGTACATTAACTGCAAACTTTTTTTAACTTACTGTACATTATTTACAAATTATATATCTTCATGAACTGGATCCATACATGAGAATTTTTCAACATCTTTATTCTTTAACATGATGTTAATTACCTAAATATATAACTATGACAAAAACAGGTTCCACAGACTCTTCTGAACTATCTACTCTACGAAGCAACTAAATACAGAAACTGACCATTTATCATTTCAACACATATTTAATCTTATCTAAAAAATGTACAAACAAACCCCAAAGTAATATGTGACAAGAAAGAAACCAAGAGAGAGAGGATATATAAATATTTTGTCAGATTCTAATAACAGATTAATACAAGCAGTTATCATCAAAATAACTTTTGGCTGTCTATGTAAACAGGAGCCAGGCGGGCTTACACTAATTCTATCACTGACTGCTGCCCCGTGCTCTCTTTCTGCCTCTCTACCAGTCGCTGATAGTCAACAAACATTGATTGGATGTCCAGACGGAGAAACTCTCCAGTGGATACAGATCTATTAATTGACCATCAGGCCTGTGATAGATAGCTCTCCTATTGTCAGATCAGTAACTCACCTTAGATAAACATCCAGATGCTCCCGATCAAAGAACTTGTTTCCTTTACTGTAATTGATGCTCTATGGCAAGTGACTGAAAGATGCACAAGAGGGGCTATAAGATTTCTCCCTTCCAAAAGATTTTTCGATCTGGATTTCAGTTTTTCGAGCAAAGCTGATAAAATGATTAATAATTTAAGAATTCATGGTGTGAACTTGAAAAATGTCTTCCTGTTTCCTGCCTCTTCTCTCAGAGACATTATTGAAGGAAAACTCAAAAGTGAGAAGTATTATGCAATTCTATGAATTTTTCCACAACTATTACAACACTCAAAAAACATCTAATAAAAAGATAAACAATCATGGTAAATAAGCAATGCTCAATATATAATTATTTTAAATTTTTTCAAGCACACGAGAACGAATTTTTTTTTAGAAATTTTTTTTTATTTTTCAAGATTTAATGTTGATTCAAGTAAACTGTTTTATAATTCCAATGTCATATGTGTTCTATAATTATATAGAGACTATGAATTATAACAGATGCAACTGTGAATGATAATTCTTAATTATGATACAATGGTTAATTACTCATAATTCAATCATACTATCCCTCTAAAGCACTGCTTTAGTACTCATAACAATGCTGTCAGAGGAGCATTAATTCTCTTGTAGTTTAACAAGAATGAGCCATTAGAAAATAAAAAAGTCCACTGACATTGCATGTGCTTTTACGCTTTTTCTCCCCATAGGCTACAACAATGACACCTAATGCACTACCTAATCAAAACATGTACGAGCAATTAATTAGTAATAACTGCATATTCAGTAATGCACTTAACTGATTATGAGATCATCAAAAATAGTATCTAACCTTTCATGATATGCATTTGGGTACCCCCCCCCTTTTTTTCCCCCCTAAATCAGACATTTTAGATTTTTGGATGGTCCTCAACAAAAACTGCTCTCAATAAATTGAGTGTGCAAATATTGCACATAATATCATCAGAATTTCTAAACATCATTTTCTTATATTTTTTAAAAATTTTCTCACATTTTCCAAATATCTATCAAATTTTGCTTGATTTAAAACATCTGCCACTTAATTACATTATGTTTTTTTCTTTTTTGCAGCTTGTAATTCATATTTTACTCCAAAGAAACAAAAATGAGACCTGAAACATGGTAACAATTAGAGGCTAACACACATTCTCATGTTAGGAATGTTATTGGGGATATATTATTCAAGTTCACAGGCATTTAAAATCATTTGAATGGGAGTGTTTTCATTTTGAGCAATTTGTCATAACTTTATATCTTGTAACAATCACTCTTAAGAGGAGTAATTCATGTTCAGGGATTTTTTACAAAGCAATACTGACTAAATTACATCACTGTCTTTCTTCTTCAAAATTACATTTAAACGAAACAATTATTTACATACTTCAAAATTTAAAATCCTCATAAAAATAGAGTAAATAATGCTGTTATAGTTGTTTAAATACACATAGCTTAAGAAATAGTTTCATTCAATTTTTAACCAAAAAAAAAATGTATTTATTTAAATGTTTATTTTAGTAACTGGCTTTTAATTCCAAGTCAATTCAAATTCATTTAAACCTCTGTTTTGAGCTTTTCTATAACAAAAAAAATATATTGAAAGCTGGATATTTCTGTCAAACATAAATACAAATTTTCTACGAACTATTGCACACATTTCTGAAAAAATGAAAATAATACCTGTCTCTTTGTATTGCTCTAGGTCCAACATTTTGTTGTCACCAGAACTCTGACAAGTGGAAAAGGTTACATCACTCAACATAAACAAAAACTATCAGCTTAATCTTCGTACAGTCCGGTTATATCTGACGAAGTTGTGTCATTAAATGAAAACAATCATCTAGTCCTTGTAGATATATCTTGTAGATGACTATACCTAACAGACCTGTGCAATACCTGTTAAACTAATCTGGCACCCAATAGACAAAACATAAAACACCGGCCATCCTTTCTCACCTCTGCCTTTTGCTCTCTGTACTGGATTGCCAATCTATCAAAAGTCACGATCAGCCTTACAGCAATGTATACCTGGCCAGCATTCTCTTGTCTTCACTTTAACAGCTTCAACAATAATGTGTCTATCAATAAAATAATGTTTATGTCGATCATTTTCTTTGCAAAAGGCAAACTTTCTTTTCTGCTTTTTTTATAATCACATCTACTTTAAAATTTATTGATTTTATTTTTCTTCTACAGCATATGGGAAATATTTTAATATGACATTGTATGCACCTATAAAAAAGCAAACAGAATTCGACATTTGGCTTTTTAGTTATATGAAAGTAAAGAAAAAAATCTGAATTGGTACAACAAATAAAATTGTTTAATGTTTATTTATGACCTGTAAAGTAAACCCTAAATAAAGATATTTGATGTGAAAACACTTTATTGTTGAGTTAAAAAAAGAAGAAGAATATATATCAATATGTTTACAGATTTCACAAATATCCTTGAGTGTTGCCTCGGACTTGAATCTTTTGACCAACTTTAGAACTTAATTGATCTCACAGCTTAGAAAAAAAATACATAGCAGAAATTGACTTACCAGCAAGAAAAATTAAATAACCAAAAATACCTTGAAAAAAATAATAATACAAGGTTTTAAAGACTGAGTGACAATAATTTTGTAAATTCTCCCATTATTATACCCAATATATATTTTCCTTTCGTGTGTGTGCTTCTTTCGGCACATTTTAAGAATAACTTTTTTAAACAGCGTGTTCAAATTCATTTACACTTTACTATTCATTTAAAAAATCATTAGCAAAGAAGGAAACTAGGCCTACCTGCAACTGCAACTGGTGCTAAACTCAGTGTCTTCTTATTTTCTCTCCTTTTCATCTTCTGACTGCGAGAATCTGAAGAGTTCAGCGTTAAAGGGAGATAATGAGCATTTAAAAGTTAGAATGCGGGAAATCTGATTTTTTTCTAACAACTGTCAGTACTGTCCATATCATAGATCTTCTGTGGTTCATTATGTTTTAACTGTTCACATTTTGATTTGTTCAATTGTTGAACTTTCATTGTACTAAAATATCCCATGTTGGGGGCTTTAATGAAATGAAAAGTTTCAAAGTTGAAACTAAATACATGTACTACCGTGTAACATAAGAATGTTGTAGTACATATCTAGATTTATTTTTTACTAGCAGAGGCCTTCTATACTTTGGTGTTCTGAACAATACATGTATATAGTGATTAACATAAGAGCCACTCATGCATGCATTCTTGCTTATATGTTATTTTGTTGAAACTTGAAACTGCAACTTTTGTGGTAGTTTTATTTTCAAATCAGAAGACGTTGTCATCATCTCAATGGATCCAATCCCTCTCTCGCTCTCTCTATATAACTGCTACGTATTCCCTCGAAGGAAGGGGAGGGGGATTGTACATCATTGAACTTTATACATGTATATCGCCCCACCGTTCCGATGGCCCATCCCCCGGGATCTGAGAGATGGACAAAAACCATCGAAATCCATGTCATGGTTCTTAAAAAAAAAAACCCAAAGAAGCTTTTACACGATTATAGGCCTTATAAATGAGTAGTTAATTCACTAACTGGGGTCTGAGATTTAAAAAAAAAAAACCAAACAAACAAGCAAAAAACAACCAACCAACCAACCCCCCCCCCCCCAAAAAAAAAAAAAACATCGAAATTTCATGTGATACATGTATTCTAAGTAAGCTCGTTATATGATTATAATGAGCAGTTAACCCTATACTAAAGTGGTACCAAAAACATCGAAATTACATGTTATATTGTAATAAGTAAGATTTTTACATTACTATGGGCAGTTAACCCTCTACCAAAGTTGTGAAATTCATGGTCCCTATAGGTACCAAAACGATAATATTCTTTAAAAAAAAAAAAACAACATTTTATTGGAAAATCTCTAACATGTACCTTTTGTATGATAATAATGAGCAGTTATAATGAACTGCTAGAAAAATCGGTGATTGAGGTAGTTACCATGCACTGCACTTATGAAAACCACAAGAACAGGCGTTGACTTCCTTACGCCGCCTCCTCTAAACGGAAACCTTGACAATGTAACCAATTTTTATAAGAAAACATGGTTTTAAAAAGGGATTTTTTTTTAAACTTTGATTTAAAAAAAATTATTGGTCAACCAAAGATTAATTTTGACATTTGAAGAACTGCGAACGATAGTATATAGTTCTGCCGCCTACTTCCAAATCAATTTTCAAAAGTTGACATATAATTTTTCATATTTATATAGATATTTATGTGAATTTTCATATAACATAACATATTCAAACTACCCATAGTCCTCTGCGTCTCCACACACAGAGGTTTGAAACGAACTCTGGCAAAGTTTATAACATATTTGGGAAAACAAAGAGAGATAACTTTATAATTTTGGTAAAAATTGTGTTTTTCACTATAACGTTAGAAATCAACGGAAAATGGAGAATATTTACCCCCCCCCCCACCCCGAGAAACGAAAATTCCTTTTTAAGATACTATAAATCGTTATTCCACAAATTCATACCACCAAAGCTTTTGTTGTTTCACGGGAGGGGGGGATATGTTTACAGACCCCCCCCCCAAAAAAATATGGTCATTTTATTGCCTATTTCAAATGAGATTACAAACTTTAAAAAAAATGTACTTTATCAATCTTTTTCGTTGAATTTCACATAAGTTAACATACGGAAAGATTTCTGGTGATACTTTAAAGCCTGATTTCAATGGATAAAATTTTCTACCCCCCCCCCCTTTATGAAAACAGTTGTAAAAAAGAGCAATCAACTTTTTGACACTGGCTTTAAAATTACATGTATTAATCAATTACTAATGAACTCTTCCTGTGCATTCTATTAAGTTCTAATTCATGACTATAATACCATTAATATTGAATTTAAAAATGTGTGTAAAATGTAGGCAGGGATCAAGAGTTATCGTGCGTAGTTCTTTTGTGTATTCACGAACAGTAACTAGGAATGCAGAGAAAATCCTAGATTTTACAGAAAAAAAGATCCCACGTGCATGTTTATTTCATTCCGAGATATCAAAACCCCGTGAGAGGCCAGGTCCAGTAAACTTTATTTATGCAAATGAAATATAGTAAATGTCTTTGATTTTGATTGCATAAAAAATGAATTAAAATGTTTAAACCAAGTGTTTAATGCAATGTTTTTATCACTCAGTCAAAGGACTTTGATTGTCATACCTTTTGGGGGAAATGGACTTCTAATATTATCAGGAACACATGAAAAACTTTTACTATACTGGTATGTGCATCGATTTCTGCTTCACCCAATGAATACTTCCAGTACTTCTAAAACCGAAACATACTGGAAAATTTTTTAACCTACGCATACCTAAGAAATGTTTTTCATTTCTGAAAGTCCTTTACGGTATCACTTGAGGCATTTTTCATTAAGTGCACTAATGTTATAGCTTCTCAAAATATATACAAGGGTGAAAAGTATTAGTCTCACGAACTTTTAAAACTAAACTATGCATTCGCCCACATCGAAATTGACAAACTGTCTAAAGTTTCAGAGGCGAATCCAGGAATCTGTGAAAGGAAGGGGGGGGGGGCTCATATGATCGTTTTAAGCAGTTTTCACAGCCCACCCCCTCCATTTACACACCTTTGTTTGTTTACGAAACATCTTAGAAAGATGTAAAGACAGTTTTAGGACTCCCTATTCAGTGATATTTTCATGAACTCTTTTTTTTAAATCTTGCTATATTCTTGTATATATTAGTCAGTTGAAATTATTAGCATACATGATCATGGTAACCATGACTACTATTTATTCAGAAAGTACACGATTTTTTTAAAAAATTAATTTTGTTTACCATTCTTGACAATCTTGTAGCATCGTAGTAATAAAGCATCACATATTTTAATCTAGGGAGGTCAACAATAAATGTGTCACATTACACAATTTTGTTAATTGCTAATTACGACTTTTACACTCCTAATTCTGTGTCCCCCAAAAATTAACCGGTGTCAAATTAAAGAAAATGTGGAAGAAATTTCTTAATTTCTACATGCATGGAAAAAGCAAAGCAATTCAATACAACATTGCACAACAAACCACTTCAACAGGTATACCCCTCTCCAATCAAGTATATGGACTTTTAAGGGGAAAAAACCATTTGATAAATAAATTTCTGTATGCAAACATCTCTACACATACATCTCTCTCCTCTTTTTCAAAACTTAGACACCATATAAGGATGATATTTATTTTAATATTACAATAACAAATTGATGTATAGCAAAAACAAAAAAAAATATACATGTATAATCATATCAGTGAAATCTCTATCATCAGCTCTGAACATGTTCATTAACAATCTTATAAATAGCACTCTATAATCTACTAATTCTTTGGTAGCAGTATATAGCTCTGGTGAATTAATTAGAATTATATACTGGCATTAATTAAACTACCTACCTGCAAAATACTTGAAAATTGTCAGTTCTTCCTAAATTCTCTCTGCCCATAAGGTATTTTTAATTAACATATGAGAAAAAAAAATGCTTGCAAGTTTCCCACTGAATTTTCCCATATCCATAAGAAATGTACATGTATATATGAACATTTGAATTAAATTTTAGAATTATTCCTGTCCCAGATTTTACAAATCAAAATGACAATATGTACTGGATATCACATCAAATCAAAGGTTAAAACAGCCACCATAGACGTTATAAACATTTTTGCATTTCATATCTTTATATATATTTTTACAAATATAAGAGCTTGTGATCAGCCACATCATCTTAAAAATATGAAAGACTAATCCTAATGTGTTACTGGTCAGGATTTCCTAAGTCATTTAGACTTGGTGCAGGGCCAGTCTAAACCCCCACAAGCCGCAGAAATGATGAAGTAAAGAATGACCTTAAATACAAAATGAAAGGGAGTTTAACTCATGGATAACAAATTAAAATATTCAGTTGTTGAAATAAAGTTTTACATTTTACAGTAAAGAACACAGATTATATGATACTTTTTAGCAAGTGTTTCTAAATATAAAACTTGACTAAAAATTATAAGCAAATAGTGTTATTACATATATAGATTTAATCATATTTTGGTCACATTTTATACTCACAATGACTACAATAACTATGATAACTGTGATCTTGATGTTTTTCAGCCATAAAGATCTGGCTAACCCCCGACTGGTTTTCTTAAAAGAAACAGCCTGTAGGGAGGAAAAAATGTGTTTCAATCTAAGAGAGACAACTACTATGAAATGAACACGGCACAAAAAAGTATTGATAAAGACTGCTAGCTGACTCTGTTTTACTTTTAACTCTTTTACAGAATTAAAGAGAATGAAATTTAATTAATGTTTCTATTTCTCCACTCAATTTAAAAAAAAAATACAAGACTAAACTGTGATTTGTAAATACAATACTTACATTGGCGTTAAGTTCCTCTGTCTTGTCCACTAACAGTTCTAGTTTCTCACCTCGGTCAGCAATGTTATCTGAAAAATAATTTAAATGAACTGCATTATATATCAATTGATAAATTTGTAACTTTTGTTTAGATTTTGAATACATGTATCACCATTTTTAGTAATTATGGAAAACTTTTCATAAAAATAAGAGGCTCTAAGGGCCATAATGAGTAAAAAAAATGTCTCTCTGTCAAAGAATATATAAATGACACCCTTTATTATGACCTTAAACAAGTTTTCAAAATATACCAGTTGAAAACTTAACTTTTACTATTACTTTTATTAAGAAAGTGTTCATAATCATATATTAAAAGAAAAAGAAAATTGCCCTTTCTTGCAGCTCCATAGGCCATGAATAAAGCAATATTCTTCAAATCATGGCCCATGAAAACTTGAATGAGCTACAGTAGAGGTCAATTTTTTGCTTTTTAATTGGGAAAATTTTAATCCTGCTGTTATTGAGTACTGTAGATTCCTTATTTTTCGCGAGTACTTTTTATCGCGAATGGGATTTTCAACTTCAAAGCGCGAGAAGAATAATTCGCAAACGGACGTTTGATCAAGAGCTTTTACATAGATTTCACTACCATAAAAATAAAAGCGAGTATTTTTATTTCGCGATTGGTGCGTCTCGCGAAATTACGTGATAATTATTTCCACGTGTATATTTAGGAATCTACAGTAGATGTTTAAAGATTGGTTCCTAAAGAACTTTTAAGGTTTAACTATACAAATTTCGAGAATACTAAAAACTTGAAGCGAGAACCTTGAATACAGTATAAAATTTGTTCTTATTTTTACTGGGGCAGGCAAAAGCTGCACAAGGAGTAGCACTTTGAAATATTGAATATTGGTCTTCAGTTAATGTAGCTTAATATTAATTTTCATATGAACGAATGATATACCATATGAAGACACTACTCACCTATATTTCTAACCATTATGCCCTTCAGTTCATCCACCTGACCTTGTACTTTCTCCATCTGGTCTGGTTCTCTCTTATCAGTAACATACCTCTGTAAATATCATTTTTAGATGTCTTCAAAATTCATTTTTGCTTTGAATACATGCTGGTTCTCACTAGTGCATTTAACTGATTTTAAACTGTTTTACAAGGAAACTTACTAGACCTACTAATGCAAGATTTTGTACCTGTTCTGTAATGAAATTAAATTTCAGAATCTGGGTTACGGTACTTAATTCTAACTGATACTTTTACAGAAAGTTCAAACCAATATTTTTTTTTCTTGTACAAATTACCATTTGTGAGGCTATGACTCGAGAGAATTCACTATTCATAGAGTAGGGGAGGGCAGTCTGTGCTCTCACTCCATATTGGGTTTGAAACCTAGAAAATTTGTAAATGAAAGTGAAAATTTATATCATAAAACAATACAAATATAAAAAAGATATAATTGTATATTTCTTATAACAAGCAAATGTATTATTCCAAAGAAACATTTGAGCCACATGAAATGATTCTTAAAATAGGAGAACTTTTCTACAATCCATCTATAATATACACTGTATATATACTTATTAAAGTGGGCTTCATATTTTAGCGGCTTTTGCGCAGACAATGATGTGCTAATTCATGCATACCGCCAAGAAATCATTTACAATAACATGTATAAATACAATATATGCCACCTTAGTGTGTAAAGCTAATTCAAGAATACACCAACAACTCAATTCCCAGTGATTGTGCTAAATTTAAATAAGCAAATTTATGTACATGTACAGAATGATGAAGAAACTTTATCTATTTTTTTTTAATGAAAATGTTATTGGTCTATGAGTAGGCCTATCTTACCTTCTCTTGATCTCATTCAAAAATAAAAATGCTTTGGATCTCTCAAAGTCCTACAAAAAAACATAATAAAGTTGACCTCATCGTAAGAAACAAAAAGCCTAGTAGAAATAGAGTGGGACTATCTAAAATTAATTCTTTATGTTAGAATCTTATATTCTTCCTTACACTAGAAATATTACAACTTAAAGGCCTTATAGAAGATATGCCAGTTCTGTATGTGCACAATATGTGTGCTTTGGCTTCATTCCTTTTTTGCTTTTAAAATCGTAGATTTTTCTCGGAAAGAAACTTTGTTCAATTTCAAAATAAACTTACATCATCTGTGATGCACAAGTAGACAATTCTGTCTTCACTGATATAATGGAAGAGGTAGCTGCAATTTCATCGAAACCCAACATCAGAACATTTTGAAAAAATCAATTCATAGATTATATTTCATGTACATTGTACTAATATCTTAGCCGTATAATTCTTCTTCTTGAAAATACAAATGTAAGTTTCTGTAAAATGAATACAATACAATAAAACATGTTTATAGCAAATGCCAAGGATGAACAATTTTGATTCATTAAATAAATGTAATTTGTAATTTGCATGAAGTTCACAATAAATTTTAAAAGCATGGCAAATGAAAATCAATTCGCTGTAAGCATGCATGATTTCATTATAACTCTATATGCTACATTAAAGTGTATTTTAATGTATACACTTAAAAAAAGTATGGTTGCTTCAAAAGGTCTTGATTCTGTGTTGCTCTTACCTCCCATGTGAATAAGTCAGTTTGGAATCGTCTGGTCCAATCTTGCTTAGTATTTGCTCTGTAACTTCTGTAAAGTTTCCAGCACAACTGGCATACTTAGCCAAGACAGTGGTACCACGAGCTACCACAGCAAACAATATGGGCATGTTGATTCAGTGCAACTAATATTAAAGTCTGTTGTATGAATTCCCTTCTTTTTATCTTTAAGGAGAACAAAAATTGCTGAATTAATATATAGTTGCAAGTCCTATAGTCATGCACACCCAGTAGTCATACATCATTTTGTTTGTGAGAAAAAGTGTGTTTCAATTTTTATTTTTTAACATGAAATTGGTGCCATGAAACTGACACATATTCTCTGATTTACACACAAAAAAAAACTAATCTACTTGTAATTGGCGTTACATTGTTTCTGAATATTCAACAAGTCCATACTTAACCTCAGTAGAGCTGATAGCTGTACAAGGCTATCTTCTGAAGCTTGCAGTGCCCCCACTGTCCAGAAAAAAATGTGGAAAACTGTTAAACATTCATTCTTTTTATCAGTTAGTCTCAAAATACAACAGCTATCACCATGAATAATATAATTTAAATTAATAGACAACTCATGTTTTTCCTTCGAAACATTCAATGATCACAAAGACATCATGGATCACAGTCATATGACTATCACAAATACGAAAATTAACTAAGCTGTAATTTTACGAAGCTTTTAAATATAAGAAAGTATTTATACATAAACATATTTACCAAATATATCATTAAAGTGTCCTATCGCTTTGGAATATTTGCTCTAACTCCCATTTAAATACGATGATACGATCATTTTCATTTTGATTTTGTTTTCATCCTCCTTCTCCGGATACGTAAACAAATTCTACAATTTAAAATCTAAATCGGTACTTTTTCCGGATTGTGCTAGACACAGGACGTCAACAGTCCATTAGATGTTAAAAATAATGAATTATGGTTAGAGGCGCCTAACTATGATCCCATCAGGCTTGGAGCAAATTACATTGGAAAGTAATGCATTACATTACCATTACTTCAAGAATTTGGGAATTAAATTATCATAACTTTAATTCCTTCTAACAGTTAAAGTAATACATCACATTACCATTACTTTAGCAAACTAATGCATTATCATTACTATTACTTTTGGAGGTTTTCAAAAATAGAAATACAAAACTTTGCAACTATTTTCATAAACATGCATCCCACCCCTTCAAACTAAACATGATGAATTGTCATTTAATTTCACTGAAGTACTTGTATTTATTACACTGTACAATAAATACATATCTTTTTATTATTCAAAGGAAGTTCGAACTTTTCAATTACAATTAGATGAAAATATGTACAATATGCACTTTTTGTGTAACTATTGATGTGATCACCCCATGCTTTTAGATAAATGCATATTGAAATACTATATGTGTTTTTGATAAATGCATATTGAAACACTGTGTTTTAATTTGATAAATTCCTTGCATGCGCGGATCTAGAGGGGGTTGGGGGCTGGAATTTGCACAGTTATTAAAAATATAAACTGAAGCAAATAAAGAATGGATCCCCCAAATAGTTTTTGTTTTCAAATGGGAATGGAAGTATTTTTTTGTGTTGTTTGCTTTTCAAGAAAATTTCTGAGTTTGATATGTACGTTTGGGAAAGAATATTTTTTCCTTTTTTTTTTTTTTTTGCTTGGCAAGAAATTTTTGATCGGAAAGTTTTTGACTGGATTGGACCCCCACCGGTACCCCTTGAAAAAAAGTACTCGCCTGCCTTGAAGGAATTAATAACGGTGCATTTCTGCTAATGTCTAGGCGGTGTGTTCCCGTTTTGCACACATTTGATAATTAGGTATAGAACAATAGGTGTGAAATATGTTTTGATAGCAATTATAGTCTGCTTTCTGGTTAGGATTTACTTGAATTTACCTATGTTTTACCTATGTATTCAAAAAAAAAATTTTAAGCTAACAATTCATAAATTCATAGAAAAAATATTTCAAATATGATTTACGATCGTTTTAATTGTTTTACATAGATTTTCTTAAAATTAAATCAATATCAAATGCAATAACTTTAATTGTTATATATTAGTATTGATTGCATTAAATTATGGATCTGATTACTTTTCATGTTTAATTATTTAGTTTACATTTCTCTTTTGTTATTAAAGTAAAGAAATAAATCAAAATTTGAAATGCATTTTTTTTTGTTTTATTTTGCTATTTTATTTTCCTATTCTTCCCCTAAAGGTTCACCTTTCCACCTTTTACCAACTATGATGCAGACTATATCAGTTAAGTAATTATCGTACCTGGACAAATTCCCGTTTTGCACACATTTTTTCTCTACCTGAAATTCAAATGTGTGCAAAACGGGAACAAACCGTCTAGGCTAGTGCAGTCACAGATGCGCAAAGTGTGGGTAGGCAAGGAGTTGGTCACCCTCTCTCGATAGGGATTGTAGAGGGGGGATTGGGGTGGAAGGAGCATTTTTTGAGAACTCGAGGACATCTACGATTATCATTTGACCAGTGAAAACAATATTGTAAATATACTGATTTTTCAGTTTATACCATGATATGAAGACCACTTAACAGGACACGTTTAAAATATATCCTTTCACTTTGCTTAGAAAATATGGAAACTTCCTTACTGAATAATCCAAATACGAAGAGTATAATAGTTTAATTTCTTAATAACCAAAAACATTTCCAGTAATTAATTTCATTCCCTGCACTAATCATGGACTCCTGTTCCTGTTTTGAAATTGTCTGATACAGACTAATATAAAACTTGAATTTCGACTTTAAAAAAATTCCAGCTATAAGAATAGTTTTGTCATTAAATATAAAGTAAAACTGTAAACGTTGGATAGGTATAAAAATGCGGATTGCCAAGAATGCTTTTTTGGCACTGACTTGCATAAAATAGCTCTGTATAAATCGGCAAAATTATTGAGCTCACGGTCCCCGACCCTCCTCCCCTTCCTTCGTCCATGAAAAAAAAAAATAAAAGTAATTAGTCGGACAAGCTTTTTAGGAAAGCTAATACTTGTTATATGCTTATAAACAGCCTATAGAATAAGAAATATAAGAAATTATGTAGCACTGCAATCTTCTGATTTTTTTTTTCTATTTGAAAGCTTACAAATCTATGTTGATATGGTATAGATCCATTCTCTATCCAGTTTCGTTATCTTAGCGGGAAGGACAGTTCTGGATAGAGAATGGGTATCTAGGTCTATATCGTCCAACAAAGACGTGTAAGTCATAGACCGACTTTGTTTCAGTCCGACTTCTCCAGCTCCACACTGTATATTTGAAACCCAAGCGGGTACTTCTTCCGCATTGTGCAATATACACATGACGACGGACAACACGAAAATACACAGAAACGTCTAGAATAGATGTTAAAATAATGAATTTAAAGTAATCTGTGTATGCTTATTGTGAGTATATAAACACTATGTGCTTTTGATAAACATTCCCAAAGGTAACCTAATAATTGTTAGGATTTGCTATTTTTAGCACTTACACAGGAGTCTCTATTTATAAACAACCTGGTACGTAATCGAAGAAAGTAGCATTGTATTAATTAATGTTTTATTTTAATACGAAAGCTTATTGCATAATTAATTTGGGAATAATTTAATTAATAGCTAGATTCTTTTAATGGGACTGAGGTGTAAAGAATGCTGAATGTCTGCATTTATTAGTTTTAAATAGGTATGTGATGTAACACGGAATTTAATTAATTTTGAGTTAAGGAAAAAAAATGATCAAGAAAGATAAAGATTGTTCATCCAGAGACATTTATGCCTAGTTTAGAATTTTTTTTTTTTAATTTTATTTTCTGATCAAGAATAAGAAAAAAGGGTAGAAGAAAAAGAGTAAAAAAAAAACTGTACTTACATCTCCATCAATTGATATGAATCATGTTCTGTGTAATGAAGGATAGTTTTTTCCCCCCTAGTTTTCAATTTAAAATTACATTGAGAAATTAAAATACCTTAGTATATATTTCTATGTTAAACTTGTATTTTCCTCAGCTGTTGAGCTGTGACAATCCACTGAATAACTGCAACATCCTACAATTTCATTTCAGTTTTCTGTAATACAATTTTCATTTTTAGAGACAGAACATATGGACTGGAGGAAGAGTCATGTTTAGTAGGACTCTGCAAATGCTTGGGCTTAAACACAAAACTAATATGGATCCACTCTCTTTGGAACAAAAGAGGAAAGTAAAGATTAAACCTGACCCTGAGACACATAACCCCACAAAGAAATGGGACAAGTTGAAAGTAAAGCAGAAGTGGGAGAGAGTGACACCAATTGACCCCACCAGTGTACCCCTGTCAGAGGACACTGTACGCTTTGTATGTATTTCTGATACACATGCCAAGCTTTGGAAGATGAAAGATCAGATCCCAACAGGAGATGTATTACTGCATGCTGGTGATTTCACCAATGTAGGTTGGCCAGCAGAAGTCAAAGAACTTAATGACATTCTAGGTATATCTTATTATAAATACATGTACATTAACATATATATTAATGATCTGCAGTTTTTTTTTTTTTTAAGATTTGGACTTTCCTCAAGTGCTAAAGTGCTTGAGTGCTAAATTTCAAATCTGTGACTTACATATAAGACAGAATATCAGAACCTCTACCAAATTCTCTCTGAATAGAAAATTAAATGGGGGAGATAATGAACATATGAAGACATTTTTTTAAATATATCTTTCTTTGTAATTTTTCAAATTTGAAAAATGAAAATTAAAAACAATTTGTTTGAAAATTTTGAAAGTAACCAGGTTATTAACTTTTTTAACATAAATAATTTTTTTTTCAGGACAGCTACCTCACAAACACAAAATAGTTATAGCAGGCAATCATGATTTAACTTTTGATGATGAGATGATTCAGAATCAGCCAGAGGCAGTGGAAAAGTTTGGTCTAGGATTGGAAAAAGTTAAAACCTATTTGATTTCACAAGGTGTCAGCAGTGTCAAAGAGCTTCTCACAAACTGTTTGTACCTGGAAGATGCTTGTGTAGAGTTGTATGGCATTAAGATCTATGGATCTCCATGGTTAGTAGAATACAGTTAAAGTATATCATTAAGAGAGTCAGCAAGATTCCAGTTCCCCAAGAGCAAGTCTATTTCCCGAGGCGCAGCGGAGGGAAATAGGCTTGCTCGAGGGGAACTGGAATCTTGCTGACTCCCTCAATGATATACTTTAACTGTTTTATTATACCGATACTAAACTTAGACTATTTTTAAAATCCGTAACAGCAATTCTATTTTATATGCAGGGCAATTACATATATAAGGTGCAATGGAAACTCAGAATGTAGATAAAATAAATAAATTCAGTCGGACGTCTTTAATTGTATTTGAATCAATGGTCTGTAAAATACATGCAAGCAACATTCATTTTAAATGTATTTTATAAACAATTTCATTTACACTGTGACAAAGTTGAGTGATCCGTCTTGCTCTCAATGCACATTAACCGTGCATGTTGACGTCACAATAAGTTATGCGTACTCATTTCCCGTACAAATTAAGCCCAGCCTCCCTATACATGTATGTAACATTAACAGAGCTGCTTTATGAATATTCATCATTTATTTGGAACATATCAGTACTTTTGTATGATTAAAAGAAATTTCGAGTTGTACCGAATAGGTGTGTATCTGTTCATCAAACCGACGCACCTTTTTGCAGGGAATCGGTCTTTTTACGGAGATTTTCAGGGAATCAGCAAAATGTATCGATATACTCTTATATAGTGAAAAATCCGTAGAGGTATAATAATTTTTTTTAATGTTTGGTGCAAGAGGATGATAATTAAATAAGAGATTAAATGCATTTTTTATCCCCAAGATTCTCAGACACAAAGTAAAGGTAGAGAAAGACCATTATTGACTATTCTCTTCAGAGAACTAGACAGGCTTTTGCCTATGGATGTAGGCGAAAGCCTGTCCACTTCCCTAAAGAGATTACATTATTGACATTTGAGGTTTCTCCTCATCTTGTTATTGTCAATAAAAGTAATTAATCCAAAATTTCAAAACAGATTTTATTATATTTGTGATAGTAGGAAATTGATTTCCAAAAAATTGTTATGTTTTTCCTTATACATGTGCATCTGTTCACTTGTAGGCAGCCAGAATTCTTTAACTGGGGTTTCAATTTACCCAGAGGCCAGCCATGTTTATCAAAATGGGACCTTATACCATGTGATACAGACATTCTAATAACACATGGACCACCTTTAGGTATAGTGTTTTGAATATCATTTAATATTAAGAATTTAAGTGAACTGGTCACAAATGTCCCAAAGCATGTTCAATTATTACAAAATACAAATTGAACAGAATTTTAGGAACCATCCTGTTTCTTTGCCAGCTTTGTCTCAAAGATCAATAGTCTCTTTAAAGGTGTGTTATTTTTTCATGAATCAACTAGAAATATATCCATAGGACATGAATACCCGGTTCATTAATAATGCAACATGAGAATTTCAGGGGTGTGCAATTACCATCGCCCGATGCCCGGGGCTACCAATTTTAGAGGTCAGGCTATCATAAATCTATACTGTGTTAGCCCGTCGGGCTAGTAAATTTAAAACGAAAGTATGAGTATATTTACGTCGACTGAATTGATGTACGAATTAACTTTGTTGTAAAATCATAATCTTAAATTCGTTTTAACCTATATGTATTGTGTGTTGCTATCGCCAGTTGTTTCAGTGACAATTATAGTCGATAAAAATAGGGAGAAGTACCTGACAATAACAAAGCGCAAACCAATATTTGTTTTATTCATTTCAACTTAAATGTTTTTTTTTTTACCTTTTTGTAATACTTATACATGTATTGTTTTCGGTAGTTAATGGGCTAATGTCTGGCAACCTCGGGCTAGTAACTTGCCTACTGCCACTAGCCCAACGGGCTAGTAACTAATTTTTGTAATTGCACACCCCTGGAATTTGTATTAGCGTATGAAGTTTTATGAAAAATACTTTGAATAGTTTCTTTAAAACTGAGTTTAATCCACAATGAATTGTAAAGTCAAAGGTCATTGGGAAGGTCAAGGTAAAAAATAAAATGGACAAAGTTGATGAATTCTAACCAAATAATGTATCAGTGCATAAGTTTACACAAAAAATATCTGGAATAGTTTCTTTGAGAAAGAAAGAAAAACAAATTTGAGAAAAGTGAGGTCAAGGCCAAAGGAAAGGTTGAGGTCATAAATTTTGAAGAAGTTGAATAGCTCTCTTCGATATGTATCAGCATATGAGGTTTGATAAAAAATATCTTGATTTGTTTCTGTAAAACTATGCTAAACACAAATTTTAAATCAAGGTCAAAGAAAACGGTCAAGGTAAAAAATGCTGATACAATTGATTGAATTGAAAAGCTCTCACCAATATGTATCAATATATTTCATTTGATTAAAATGTCTTGAATAGTTTCTTTGAAACTGAGCTTAATAGTGAGGTCAAGGTGAAAAGAAAGGTCAAAGTAAAAAAAAATGTTAATGCATTTCAACAGCTCTGATCTATATGTATAAGCATATAAAAATTGATAAAAATATCTTAAGTTTGTTTGAAATTGAGATAATCACTAATTAAAGAAAGTTAGGTCAAGGTCAAAGAGAAGGTCTAGGTCAAAAGATGTTGATGCCGTTGAATAGCTTTCATCAATATATATCAGCATATGAAATTTGATAAAAAAGGTCTTGAATAGTTTCTTTGAAACTGAGCTAAAGGCAAAGTGTGATGGAAGGACAGAGGGATGGAAGGATGGAAGAGGACATGACAAACACTATATGCCCTGGCCATATTCATTGCGGGGCATGAAAATTAAATGTTCTTAATGATACATGCATTTTTTTTTTAAATTGTGGTCCTCCATCTCCAGCCCAGTATAATTAAACTATGAGTGTTTAATTAAGTGCATACACAACATGCATGTACTCTACATTGTAGATGTACCTTTCTCACTGAAAAATTTTCAAGATATTCTTAATTTAAATTGTAGTACTATCAGATGTTCTTGGACAAAAAATCAGTATACATTACCAGGAGTTTTGAACAGGTATCAAATGATAAAAAACTTCTGTTTTTTAAGGAAAATTAACAAAAGTATAGTTTCATATAAATATAGTTTTAATAGCTTGTATTTCCTATAAATTTGATTCAAAAGAGGTGAACAGAATTACCAGGCATCATAAAATCGCACAAAGGTTCTTCAGTTATTGGAACTCTTAAATTATAAAGGGAATAAAAAATTAAAGTTCAAAACTACGTTGCATATGTCCTTAAAAAGATAAAGTAATGAACTTATATAAAGTACATATGACACTGAACATAAGACCCAAGTACATTTTAAAAAAAATGGAAATGAAATTTAAAAAATGCACTTACAAGAGTTGAAAATATCGCATAGATATATAGATATAACCCCCCCCCCCCCCCCCAAGGGTTCTCCAACTTTTTAAAATAAAATATTTTTAAAGACATTCTTTTCTATGAGATATTTACACAGTATTACGATTGAAAAATGCCAAGTATAACACATTAGCTTAAAACTAAACTTTTATGAAAATTCACACCCACTGATGCTAAAAGAGAACAAGGTTGGCAACTTCGACAAACGACTTTCGACATCTCGATGGGAATCTTCAAAAAATGAAGATGAAAGCTACTTATCGACTGCAAGTAAAAGTCACCATATATTGAATAATTGATATGTCGTTTGTTTGTGAGCAGTTGTAATTTCAGTCATGGGATTTTTTTTAAATGTTTTACACAAAACATAGATATATTTAGAAACTGTAAAAGGTTAGTTTTCGGTTATAATTTGGATTTTTCAACCTTAATACTTCGTAAATATGTCATAGAATATTCTAAAAAGTCAAAGAAGCCGTGGGGTACGGAGCGCGCGGGGGTGGGGGTGGGGGTCCGTCCCCAAGCACTTGTGAACAGAGTCAAGTAAATTCGATTTTAATGAGCAGTGCAAAATATAAGTGCAAAATTTGGATGCCAAAGTTTAGATGATTTTTTTCCTCATGAAATTGAAATCAAAACTTTTTTTTACAATAAAACTTTTAATGAAATTCTATCTTTATATTTTCAAAGCACTACGTTTTTTTTTTATCTTACATGTATCAAAAAAAGTTTGTTACACACATATACTTTGGGACTGCATATTGCGTAAGGTCGTTTACTGGATACAATCAAATTTCTAGCCCCCCCCCCCCCCCGTGCAAAACAAACAAAAAATAAAGTAATTCAAATAAGTAGAAATAAATAATTTCCTAGGTCACGGAGACAAATGTTATGATGGACTGAGAGCTGGGTGTTTGGAACTTCTCAACACAGTTCAGAAACGTATCCAGCCAAAGTACCATGTATTTGGACACATTCATGAAGGTAGGACTTATCTAGTACTTGGTGATCTACTGCATTGGCTGAAAAGACCAGATCAGTTTTCAAAAACTATTATTATTTTCTTGTGAATTTCCACAATTTTGACCTGAATGAAGTAAAAAAAAAATCGTGCACTGTAAATTGAGAAAAAGATGCTTGTTCAGTGAATCTTCAGAGAAGTAATATACGTGAATCTTCAGAGAGGTAATATACGTGAATCTTCAGAGGTAATATATGTGAATCTTCAGAGTTTTAATTTTTCTTCTAGCATATGGATGTTCTACTGATGGTATCACCACGTATATTAATGCCTCTAGCTGTACCCTTCAGTACAAACCAGTCCACCCCCCTATTGTATTTGATTTCCCCCTCCCTCCTGGACACACAAAAGACGAGGTCATTGGTAGAGTGCAGAGTTTTAGTCAGAAAACACCCGAATGTGACACAGTACACGAGAGAGACGGCCATTCTGACTCAGATGTTGAATTTAAAGAGGATTAATTTTAAATAATTATACTGTTTATGGTTATAATTTGTTGATAATATTCTCACAATTATTTTCTGTGATACATTTCTCTGATTATTTTAGGGAAAATGTGATGTATTTGTATTGAGTAATTAGAACAAATGTACTTTGCTTACAGTGCTACATATGTAAATGTTTATATCTCCGCAATTTTTAATGGATGCATGGTCATATGTAAACAGCGCTCTTTTAATGAAATCTTTTTTTTTTATTTCTTTGCTATGGTTTTGTATGAATAATCTAAATTAATCTTTAGTAAACAAATAGGGCAGGCAGAAAAGCTGATGCAGATTATTTGTTTTACGTATATGTTGGGAAACCTTTCCCGTGTACCATAACATTTGGTGCTGAGCGAGTGACCAAATCGAATGGCGAATAAAGTTTAACAAAACTGCATTTTTTTGCTTGTGCAAACAATCCAATATTATCAATTTGAAGAAAAGGCCTTTGTCATGAGCAGTTTATCTTTATTTACGTGTACAAGATAATTGATATTTTTTATCTCCTTCCTCATGTGATACAGGTACATATTTCTGTTATCAAAGTTTGTTATTATTTCGTATTTATATAATAAATGAGATGTATTCATATGTATTGGTTTATTAGAAACAAGTAAGTTTCCTAGTGCTGTATATCTCTTCAAAGCCGTTTACCTAGGTGTCGCCTCACAAATTAACGTAAACTTCCCAGGTAATTATATATAAGCGCTACATGAACCAGACGGACGATTTATCTACAGGTTCATCGTCACAAGCCACGCGTTTTTGTCCATTTTATTTCACAAATGGACTCAAAACACTTGGCTTGCGACGATGCTACATGTTGTATCTGATATTTTTTTATGGATGAGCGGCCAGTTTAAAATAATGTTTGGAGGTGATCCATTCTCAAGTAACTGTGAGGCCTTCATGTCATGTGGGAAATACTAAAAATTCTAAAGGTATTCATGAAGTCCATGTATACCTTTAGAATTTTTAGCATTTCCCGGATCACACTCCAATGTAAAATCACGGTTGCACCACAGGGACATATCTTTCCTCTGCTAATGGCAACATCTTTCGAAACCTTTTCTTGTCCCACGGAGATGCACGAGTACAAAGAAAAAAAATCAATTCGATAAAAATGTTTCCCAATTTAAATTGCTACAAAACTTCATTCATCACATGTATTTTAACCCATTATTCCATTAAATTAAGTTTTTGTATCATCCACTTTGTTGTATGCTATCGCCTTCTGATGTCATATAGATAAATACATGTACCATGAGGGCCCTTAATTGGTAAATAAACGAATTGAATTGAATTGTACCTCTGCACTTTTACACACGAAACAGCTAGCGACGAATTCGTCATTTAAGGACATACCCAACTTACCTTACCTACTGATAATTTTTCAAGATATTCTTAATTTAAAGAAATGTGAGCTGCAACTTTGATGTCAGACATTTTAGTTACATGTAACTATGTCAATGACAGAAAAAAGAACGTTAAGGCCAAAATAAAAAAATACCTTTGTTTCCTCTAACGCGACCGACCCACTTAAATCGTGCCGACTGAAAAGTTTTTTTAAATAATATTATTCAAATATTTTTTTTTTATTGTTTATCAACTTTATAAAATACAATTTCATCCAAATCCGTTTTTTTTTTTCAAAACGGCGGCTTCTGTTTACTCTCATTTGGCGCCCACAAATAACACGTGGTCACAGATGGTTAGTTAGCGTTATAAAACAACGGCGGTGTATCAATCTTAATATATATCTTTAACTTATCAGAATCTCACACTCTTGAAACATTTCGTGAATTAAATATACCATGACTAAGGAGTGTTAAGATGGTATTTACAAATGTGTCTTCCAAAATTAACATACGTATAGTAAGCATGGCAAAGCCTGCCTCATGAGCAGATGAGGGGCACCTTGTGTATGCATATCAATAAATTTCACTGCAATTCATTCGTTTCGATCTAATAAACACTTCGTGTATGATTCTATTTTTTACTATATGAGACCATAGGATTTGTAAATATGTCTTTGTATAATTATTTCATCTTTACAAATATAATTCAGATGTCGTTTCTTCCATCCTTTTATTTACGGGGTAAACTTTGTGACTATAACATTTGATATATGAAATTTAAATCACTTTAGATATGGTTTGGTTGAATTAAATAGTTTATACAGGTACACTCTTTTCAAATAGTGTTGAAATCTTTAAAATTGGCTTAGGGTACGCCTTCCTGAGACATCCAGTGTATTTTCTTTAGGTAGGTCCTTGAAAATAGTTGTTTCTTTGCTTTAAAATACCTTTTTAAATTGTTGGGTCGACAACATTTGAACACCTGCCTGGTGGGAGCTCCTAATTTAGACTTTTTCTCGACACTTATGGCCATTGATCATAAAGCATCAGGAAGAGATCTTTTTCGTGCCGACATCTACATGTATACTGCGACACTGCATGGACCTACGTTTTTTACGGTCTCATTCGACTGTCCAGTCTCCACGTCCCATGTCGGGACCTGCGACTTACAATAAGCTCCTGAATTACGTCGTTACTCCAAACAAAACTGCGCCATCTGAGACCCTTGATATTTTGTCTGTGTAAGCACTCGAAGATAATAATAGATTTGAAAAATATACTCGGATGGCCAATGGTTGAGTATTTGCGAATCTTTTCTTTTTGTAAAAATTCGATAAATTTACGCTGGCCTGAGATATTTCACAAGTTCAAATGAATAATTAACCATACATGCTGCTTTTAAATTTCCATTGTATGAAATTCGGTTTAAAAATCGGTTTCTTTTGTTCTTTCTTATTTATAAAGATATTATTCAATTTTTCAGAAAGTCTTTTCAAAACTGCCGTCAGAAAAAAAAAAATAATTTACCTACCTACCTACCCAACTTGAAATTTTAGGGTCGGGTTAGGGGAAACAAAGATATTTTTAATGATGGCCTTATAAACTTTTGTTGTTCATATTTGCGATGGAAGAAGTATTTATAAGCTTTAAATGAAGCAAATTTACATTATTTTCGTCCTGTACAACATTGATTTCTTATATAATAGTATATATTTGATTGAACAGAATCCTTTATTCTGAAACAATTTGATACTTATTACTGTCCAATTGATCAAAAAGGTTTAAATTACATACAAATTTATCACAATAACACATTTTAACAGCAAAATAAAATTCTCAAAATTGAAGCTCATATTGCTTTAAAAGTATAGTACCATTAGATGTTCGCATACAAAAAATCAGTATGCACTACCAGGGGTTTTGAATAGATGTAAATTATGAAAACTCTTGTATTATTAAAAAAATATATATATAAAAATTACTAGACATATATTCTATAGATGTTTTTTTTTCATCCAAATTTGTTTTAGCTGTACAGCACCATATATAACACGCCGGTCTTTCAAGTATTGGAACTCTTCAACTTCAGGGGAAAAGACAATAATGTTCAAACTACGTTGCGTATGTCATTAATAAAATCAATGAAATATCGGAAACATATGACAATAATACGACAGTGGTAGTGCAGCCAAACGGTAAAGTAGGATAAAACTAGTTTTTTAAAGATGGTTGATAAAAAGAATTTCTGTTTATATTTAATTTCATCCAAACTGTGTCGTGCGTGTTTTCCTATCCCAGTGCGTAATAACACGCCAAGTCTATCACAAAACAAGAGATCCTATATGGTTACATATATCTGGCTACATACTGAGCTCAAGGTCACGTGTACTTAAAGTGTTACGGCATTGAATAATAAAACATTACAAATATTAATTCATAAATATATATATATATAAAAACATAAATTGAGCAACAAGAAATGACAAGAGGAAAACATTAACGATCTACTACTTGTATAGAATTTGATTAATTGGGTAAAATGGAATGGCAAGTTAAAAAATTAAAAATGTATAAAATAGTCTTTGGTTTATAATGTAAATAAATGAAGGTCAGGAAGCTAGTTCAAAGGTCATCTCCACGGAGAAATCCTCTGTGAAAATCTTGTGGGTTTTCTTTTTATGTGGATTGTCAAGTTCATCTCGAGGAATCCGCAACCTACATTTACCAAACCATGAACAGGATTATTAAAATATTTGAAGTTAAAAATCAAGTGCAAACAATTGTTTTGAATGGCATATTTTGAATGATATATCCCATTTATATTGTAAAATTTTCAATTGTATTGCAGAATTTCCCATTTGTATTGTATAATTTTTCATTTTGTATAATTTTCATTTTTATTTTATAATTTTCCATTTGTATTACATATTTTCCATTTATATTCTATAACTTTCTATTTCTATTGAATAATTTTTCATTTTCATTGTATGATTTTCCATTTGTAATGTATAATCCATTTGTATGAATATTTTTCCTTTTGTATTCTCTTATTTTCCATTTACATTGTATAATTTTCCAGATAGAATAAATAGATACAAATAGAAAATAATGCAATACAAATGGAAATTATACAATACAATCTATACAATACGAATAAAACTATACAAATGGAAAATTATACAAATGGAAAAGATTGAATCTGGCAACTTTTGACATGCCATACTTTACCAAACATGTACTAAAATACATAGATACCTTAAATTTTCTACAAAATAAGTATGGAACCAGAAGTAAAATGCACAGCTGTCATACCCCTTGGGAATTTTATTCTGAAACCAAAGAAAAATACACATATATATTTCACCTCGTTATTGAAAATTTACCCTTATTTTAAAATTTTGCCTTTAAAATCCTGAATTATTATCAAACTCCACTGTTTACAAAGCCAATTTGAAGAATCACTCCAGCTGGGTTTTACTGACCCAAGTTTATGTGACAAATACCTATCTCTCCAAGAAATCCTCCATGGTCTAAATTTTTGACTTACCGAGCTAAATTTCACCTTCACGTCTTCTTGTAAAATGATTTCCTCTTTTGGGAAAATTTCAATTGCATCTTCATCTGTCAAAACCTCCAACTTTACAATGGAACAAAGAGGATATATTTTACTGATTAAATGGAACATTGTTAGTGTCTTTATGTAGATGCAATACCAAATATATTTTATATTGTTTTAATAATTATTGCCGCAGGCCCGTAGCAACGGCCCCAAATCCCAAATGTGGGGAGGCAAATCTCCCCCTAAAAAATCTTACATGCAAAAGGAATTAAAAAACAAGAGGCCCATGGGCCACATCGCTCACCTGAGCATATTGGCTAGGCAAAAGCACAAATCAGTTCAGTATTGAAAAGATTACGGGGGGGGGGCATGAATTCTAAACAACCTGATGATGCTTCCATGTCAATATAACAAATGGCTTTGTTGTACTTGAGAAGTTTTTTAAAAAAAATTCCCATATAAAAAAATTTGATCCCCCATTGTGGCTCCTCCCTATCCCAGGGGTCATCATTTGAACAAACTTGAATCAACACAACCTGAGGATGCTTCCATATCAATATGACTAAACATAGCTTTTCTGAACTTGAGAAGAAATATTTTTTCTATATGTTCTTATGTAAAACTTTCAATCCCCCATTGGGCCCCACCCTACCCCTGGGGGTCATCATTTGAACAAAATTGAATCAAAATGACTAATCATGGTTTGCAGTTCTTCAGAAGAAGATATTTTCCTATATATTTCTATTTAAGACTTTGATCCTCCATTGTGGCCCTACCCTATCCACGGGAGTCATGATTTGAACAAAATAGAATCTACACTACCTGAGGATGCTTCCAAATAAATATGATCAATCAGGGCTTTGCTGTTCCTGAGGGGATTTTTTAAATTTTTCCTTTACATTTCTATGTAAAACTTTGATCCTCCATTGTGGCCCCGCCCTACCCCGGGGGTCAAGATTTGAATAAATTTGAATCTATACTACCTGAGGATGCTTGCGTATAAATATGACAAATCTGGGCTTTGCTGTTCCTTAGAAGAAGATTTTTCCTATATATTTCTATGTAAAACTTTGATCCTCCATTTTGGCCCCAACCTACCCCCCCCCCCCCCCCTGGGTCATGATTTGAACAAACTTGAATCTACACTACCTGAGGATGCTTCCATATAAATATGACTCATCATGGCTTTGCTGTTCTTGAGAAAAAGATTTTCAGAGATTTTTCCTATATATTTCTATGTAAAAATTTGATCCTCCATTGTGGCCCCGCCCTACCCCCGGGGGTCATGATTTGAACAAATTTGAATGTACACTACCTGAGGATGCTTCCACATGAGTTTCATCTTTCTTGGCCCAGTGGTTCTTGAGAAGAAGATTTTTAAATGATGCCATTATTTTTTCACTAATTCCTTATTATCTCCCCTTGAAAGAGGGCGTGGCCCTTCATTTGAACAAACTTGTATCCCCTTTACCCAAGGATGCTTTGTGCCAAGTTTGGTTGAAATTGGCCCAGTGGTTCTTGAGAAGAAGTCGAAAATGTGAAAAGTTTACAGACAGACGGACAGACGGACGGACAGACAGACGGACAGACGGACGCCGGACAAAATATGATCAGAAAAGCTCACTTGAGCTTTCAGCTCAGGTGAGCTAAAAATACTAAAACATAAACAAGAGATGTTTGTGAAACACGTATGCCCCCCCCCCCCCCCAATAATTGGAATTTTTCTAAGTCCAGGGGCATAACTCTGTCAAAAATTGCTCGACCGTACCCAAAACAGATCTTGACCTAGATATTTGTATAATTAATCTGTATACCAAATTTCATATCAGTACGTGCAACCTCTGCGAAGAAAAAAAAAAACGGAAACTGCAAATAATTGGAATTTTTCTAAGTCCAAGGGGCATAACTCTGTCAAAAATTGCTGGATCGTACTTGACCTAGATATTCTTATGATAAGTCTGTATACCTAATTTCATTTCAGTATGTGCAACCTCTGCAAAGAAAATGAATGGAAACTGTTGGTGGACTGACAGACAGACCGACAGAGAGCAGCAAAGCAATATGTCTTCCCTTCTTCGAAAGGGGATATAATAAATAAGAAAACCTAAACTGTCCAAAGGGGAAGGGGGCAACTTCCAAAACATAATCTGACGAGCTAAAAAAATTAAAAGAGTGGGGGGGGGGGGGGCAGGGGGGAACAACCAGCATCTAAACGAAAATTTACTATAGCAAAATACTATACTCAGGAAAAAGCCCCCCCCCCCCCCCCCCCCCGCGTTCTACGGACCTGTGTCGCTCAAATATAGGAATATCGTTATGATCGTGATAGAGAAATATGCTAGTGTAAATTTAAACATTTTTTAAAGAAATGTTATTTGGAATCTTGCCGATAGAATTCTACATCACAGTCATATTCGTATTATGTGCATTGAACTTTGTAATTGTGGTGTACATGTGTATTGTAGATATCTGGCTGGGTAAGAACTGTAGCTCTTCTGTTTCTCGCCACGATATTGTTTCGGGACTGCAATCATTGTAAACTATGTCGTCTTATCGTCATGTTTTTAGTTGTTGTAGGTATTAAACATAACAAGCATTCAGTTGTACCAGTATACGTACACAATACTCCTAGTAAATGAGAAGTGAAAATTTAACTACATGTATATATATATATATTTACATAATATTATATAGTCTGTACCTCACAGTTTTCTTGCTTTCCTAATTTGCTGTTAAAAACGAGGGTCCTCTGTAGATAAATATCTAAAACCAGGTCACTCCCGTCTCCGTTTCCCACAGCTGTAAATGGACAGGTCTTATTAACGATTCGGGATTACTGAAGCAAACAAATTCAGAACACACATCTGTAACGTGTAACTTACTGTGAATGCCCGTTATGCGAATCGTCTGTAATTTCAGCTTTACAACTGGAGGCACTTCACCATCCATGTTTTTGACGATGGTTTCATAGTAGCCAACATAACGGCTCTGTATAAAAGTTTTGAGGCAATAATGGAACAATTTTTATGTTTCTGGTTAAAAAATATTATTCAAGCTAAAGGGCAGTGTTTAAGGTGCCTAAAATGCTCACCTGACTAGGGGTTTCGACGCCTTGAAAAGTTGATCCTTTCATTAAATCTGTTCTTCTGTCTCCAAAGTAATTAAGACTCTCCTGTCAAAATTCAAGAGGAAATGAATTTTATTCCTCTGCAAAGTATTATTTTATGTAAATGGTTTTTTTATATGATCTTCTACATGTAGTATATTACCTGTGCCTCTTTGAACATGTCACAGTCTACAAGCCACGTGCAAATCATGGTACCAGTGCGACCTTTCCCGCCTTTACAATGAACCGCAATCACGTGTTTTTCATTTTCTGACAGCCACTTGCGGACTTTGATGCAAAAATCTACCATATCTCTAAAATGAAGTTAAAAGCAGTAGAAATGAGGCATTGCTTTTAAAGGTTTGTGGCGTATTAATGCATCGCTATAGAAATGGAATTGCGGACTAGCTACCTTATAGAAGGCACGTTATGGTCGTCGATATAAACTCTCTCTACTCTACCATGAAAAATTGAAGCATCGTAATCTCGTTCACCTGCAAAATGCATTAGTGTGCAGTTCTATCATGCGTCTTAAGTCTGACACGTCATTTAGTCTCTTATCTAAATCAATACTGATTCTTGACATAAAAAAAATTAATCTTGATGAATTCTCGAGAGACCGATATACTCACTACATAAATCAAATACAAGATAGCTATCTTTGTGCTTAGCATCAAGGAACCGTGCGACTTCCTAAAACATAATGGTACATTTTTACTACAAAAGTCGAATAGAAACATCCAACTGATGTTTTTAAAAATATCTTGTTAGAAAACGTTTTAGGAGGACAATCAATGTAGTTCCCTAATGACTTACTTGGATTGGGTTTCTGTACATCCCCCTTACACCAGATGAGGGAAATGACATTGCAATTACCCGCTCTAAAAAATAAAACGATATGCCACTTTCTTAAGCCTGCATGAACTTTGAATTAAGGAAGAGGGAGGGTGGTTAGAGTGGTGGGTATATTTTTGACTTTATGAAAAGATGCTTGAGGAAAATGCTCTGATTTGTTTTTTTTGACAATTTTTTCTTTGTCATGATGCATTATCGATTCCATTCTATTGTTTTAATTACTATTATTGCTTTTATTACCAGCCAAAACAAACAATTCTGCCGAACAAAACACGGTAGGTCATCCTCCCTGGGGATCTATAAAACTTGTGTCATGATAATTGATTCTGAACAGAAGGTGCATCAATTATAAATAACCTATACAGCATTGAAAATATTTATTATACCCAAAATCAATATGCTCATTTATTTTTACATCTTATAATGAGCTTAATGAATAATTTATTACATTTTATAACAAATTACTTCAATTAATTGTGTAATAGTGTCAGGTTCTATTGTAACAAAGTATAGCAAATACTGCATTTGAGATTTATTAACATCAGATAAAGTTTTCCTTAGAAAACATTACATATATGTGAGAGATGAAACATATTTACGTTCTACCCCTTTTAGTCAGAATTCGTAATTCATATTGCACAAGTTAGCCTTACTTGTAATATAGCACAGGTCAAGGTCGAATCCGTCTTTTTGATATCTGCGCTTGTTTTGAGAGACGGTTTTTCTGGCTGCCTGAGTCATGTGACGATATTGTTGTACCATTATTATCACACTCCTCCCTATTCTAACCACACGCAATGCTCGCCCAATGACACCAAGTCTACATTTTCAAAAGAAACAAATGTCAAGGTCAAACCAAAGATATTTTTCAGAACTACTTGAAAAATAATCTTTTAAAATTTTTGTGAAAATTAAACTATTCTTTTAATGAAGTTGCATGTTGTCTTAGACAGAGACACCGAATATACCTTCCGTAATGAACCTCCACCAAGAAGCCAAGAACGAAGTCTATGATAAACGTTGCCAAGACAACCACCATGTCTGTGACATCTAAGCAACTCTTAAAAAACTCTTTCCTGTGGAAAGAAAAGAAAAAGAATCTGTCAGTAAAATGCTGTCGGATAGATATTAGTATACAAAGCACATCCCGCTGATTGCTAATGGAGAGAGAGAACATGAAGGTGCATCAACCAAATGATTATTGGAGGTTTTAATGATGCAAGACAAACTCTAATAGGAAGCTGTATCGCAATCAACACAAACTACAGTGTAGATGCGCGTATTACATAATACTTCTAATAAAATTTTAAAACAAAATGAATACATTGGAGTAAAATGAATTTTAAAAAATCATCTGAATTGAAAATAAATTGAAACCTTTATTGTGAGTAAAGGCTTTTCAAATAGGATATCCTTCATTGCATTGTGAATAAGATCACAAAAGGGGAAAGGGGGGGGGGGTCTGTGATGGCAAAATTCTCTACAATTAAAGCATATGCTTCTAAGACGTGCTTACCCACGATAAAATATTCTGAATCCGATTTCTATGAGAAAATAAGTGATGATGATACGTGATACCAAGGCAATGTCATGTGAGGTTTGCTCGCTGAGATTCTTGACACTAATGTCCACCACGACTAAGATGACGTCTATCAGAATCAGTAGCACGGTGAACACACGAAATATAAAGTGTTCTATTACAGATTTAACTCGGAACTGGGCTTTCCTGGAAAATAAATACACGATAAAAAATTATAATATCTTAAGTGGGTTAAATATACAACGATTAATTTATAGTTTACATTTTGCCCCAAGGGAAAAGATTGCCTTTTAATGAAGGATTTTTTTACAAACTAATTGTTCAACATAACATTATATTTTCGTTCCTCTCACTGTGATAATATTTACAATTTACTGTATGAAATATGCACAGTCTTTTCTTGTGTAGTTTATACGCTTTGTAATCACTAAATAAATGTAGATCATATTTTGAAGCACGCCTGTGTTCCTACACTATTTTTCTTTGAAACAAGGTATCCAAAACTTGGGTCATATTTTGCTATTATCTAAATACTTTTGAAAATTCGTAATCAGTTTCTAAGGGATTAAATTCCTCTATAATGATACTAATACATGTATACAAACACATCTAAACGTACTAATAGTTGGTGGTGTCATTAGCTAAACCTACTGTAGTTTTGTCTTGGGAACCACCGTGTGCGTGTGGTGCTCGTCGTCCTCTCTGATATGTAGGTCGGGAGGGTGCTCACTTCGTCTGCTACAGATGCTGACATTATCATCCTCAATTTTAAGTTGTAGAAACTGAATCTTCTCTTCACCGTCCTCAAAGATGTCGGTGTTTCCCTTCACAGGATCATACTCCATTGTATTCACTCTTTCACCGTTTACTTTAGTTCCATTTTCACTTTATCATTGAATAAACAAATTATCATTGGTGAGGTATGTACTTTAAATAAGGACTGTACTCTAAGTTAGCATTTGTGGTGTAACATGAATAAGAAATGAAGTGATGCTAACAGTTGGTTCAAATCGATCCATTCTGTGAGTGTAATCCTATATCCGACACACAAGTTTTTATAGATTTATCCACTTTTTTTGACTCTTGTGAATCTCTAGAGAACTGATCAACTTATTTATAAAATGGCAATGATCTACAGATTAGCAATAAATGTGTAATAATTAGGGACAACGACTAAGCGTTGATCCACCTATCCGATTAAAGGTGGTTAACTTATTAAGAATCGAAGTAGTGTTGATTAAGGACAGGTACATACCTGATACTGGCTATTACCACATCTTGCTTTATTCCATCCAACATACATGTAGCAACAAAGACAGCGAATCGCACTGACAGCTTGTTATTGTAATAAACACATGTTAAATGGGGGCAAACGGGTCCACGAACTACACAAAACTCATAACACAACTCCGCTCTACCTATCAAAATATAACCTCACCAATGGGTCACCGGTTTTTCTATTCAGTAATGTGCACTGGCGGATCTCAAGTATTAGTGAACTATCCGATATATGTTTATTCTTTTGGGGGTTTAAATACGCACTATAGCACAACTATTCGATAAGCAATAACGCAATTCTCTGCATTCATAATGCAATCTCACTGATATCTTTCGCAAGTTATAATCAAGTATATGCACTGGTAATTTTGATAATGAAAATTAAAGTAACACATGGGACATCCACGGGTGGTGTAGCCAGGCATATGTCTAGATACACCCTGGGACTCACATAACATCGTTTCTGGACTATCGTATACCGTCTTGAGACAACATGCAGACAAGCATTGCTTTGCGCTTTCAAAAAAGGGGGATACTGACAATAAAAACAATAGATTTAATAAGAAAAAAAGAAACCAAATCTGAAAACTGTCTCTACTTGATTCAAACTCCTAATTCGAGGTGGGGGTGGGGGAGATTACCAACTTTGAGGACACGCCCGATGGGTTCGCTAAGACTGTACATGCGTTCAAAGTAGAGCTCATGGTAAGAAAAAAATCCAATGCCTTACAAAACAATCGCTTGGGGTACGATTGAAATCGATATTATCATTAATGCAACAACAATTTAATATCACACAGTAAATCTAATCAAACTGCAAAACTGTGCATAGGAATATCAGATAGTAGGTGGTACAATGTATTTTGTAAACGCTTTTCGCTCAGCAATCATTTTATAGGGATTATCTTGGCAATGATGAAAAACTGTGAACCACGTCTTGTATGGAACGCCAAATTAACATGTATTCATATATTTGAACCTATCTTCAATTAATTATACCTATCTTCAAATCAATTGTACCTATCTCCAAATGAATTAAAGATAGGTTTAATTCAATTATACCTATCTTTAATTCATTTGAAGATAGGTACAATTAATTTGAAGATAGATACAATTGATTTGAAGATAGGTACAATTGATTTGAAGATAGGTGCAAATGCATTGAATTAAAGATAGGTATAATTGATTTAAAGATAGGTGCAATTGAATTGAACCTATCTTTAATTATAAAGATACTGACAATAACTACTACTCCCCATAAAAATGCACCGTGCAGTTCCCTCCATGTTCAAGTCGCTGTTAGAGGGAGCTTTCATTATTTTCAATAACACAAAACGAATTGAACCTAGGTATAATTGAATTGTACCTATCTTCAAATCGTTTGCGGATATGTTACAATTGTACCTATCTTCAAATCAATTGTACCTGTCTTTAAATCAATTGTACCTATCTTCAAATGAATTAAAGATAGGTATAATTCAATTGAACCTATCTTTAATTGAATTGAAGATAGGTGTAATTCCATTAAAGATAGGTGTAATTTATTTGAACCTAGATTTAATTATTTAGAGATAGGTATAATTATTTACACCTATCTTTAATTCAATTGTACCTATCTTTAATTCAATTGTACATATCTTTAATTCAATTGTACCTATCTTTAATTCAATTGTACATATCTTTAATTCAATTGTACCTATCTTCAATTCATTTGGAGATAGGTACAATTATTTGAAGATAGGTACAATTATTTGAAGATAGGTTCAAATATTTGAATATATGTTAATTTGGCGTTCCATAGTCTTGTGATATTTTTAAAACAAAATCACAAGAAATTAATACATTTAATTTCATTGTGAAATTGCATAATTTACTGATAAACAGAAAATACATGTATACTTCAAAGTAGTCATACGGCAGGTTTTTATTGATAAACATAAAATACATTGTATGTCTGAAAGACAATAGGGTGCGAGCATTTTATCTCATTCAGATTTTTACTAATTGGATGAACTTTTTTCCTTGTTATACATTGCTGTTGTACATGGTAATCTAGATTAAATGTTTATTACAAACGATTACATACGTATTTCGGCATACCTTTTGTTTTCAATGATACCAATCGCCTTTAAAGGTGCTTAGACACAGATTTGAACTTAATATTTTCTCAAATTTTCTGCATAATATCACGACTTATATATTGGAATAACATTTCACATGAAAATATAATTAAAAACTTATTTTATCTGGAAATTATTGGAACTACAAATTCCAGGACGCGTTTGATTAACACATCTTTGCACTTACACAAATTTTAACTTTATCCTTAATATTTAAGAAAAGAAGCGATTTTTTTATGTATTAATGAAAAATATTACATCTATAATCCATACAATTCAGAGTAGAAATGTTCGAAAGCAAAACCAACTCACCAGTATTGTCAATCCATGCTCTGTGATGTGTACAGAGTTTAACAAATTGAAAACACCCGTGAAACGTAAACTGTTTTTATAAACAGGGCACGAGCTCTGTTGTTGTTAATGTTTACGATTGACCGGGTGTGTTCAACTCTGCACACACCACTGAGCACGGACTTACAATACTGTAAGTGGGTTTTGTTTTCGAACATTTCTACTCTGAATTTTCGGGGTTATAGTTTTAATATTTTTTATTAATACACTACAAAATTGCCACCTTTCTTAAGTATTAAGAATAAAATTAAAATATTTGAAAGGGCAAGGATGTGTCAATCCAACGCGTTCAGAAATTCTAAGTTTTTATAACTTCGAGATGAAATAAGATTTTTATCATATTTTATTATGAAATGCTATAGCAACATATAAGTCATGAAATTATACAGAAAAATTGAGAAAATATCAACTTCAAATCTGTGTCAAAGCGATTTAATTTGTCTTTCAGTTAATATTCGATATTGCGGTTGTGATAATAATAATGCATATTTTAGTCTTATTCGATACTTAAGAGCATCCGAATACAATCAGTTTTTAAACCCAGGCAGGTTTCTGTCAGATAAATTAATGTTAAAGGGATTTCAACAACATCGTTTAAAGTCGTCATTTCGTAAATTCTACGGTCGTTAAAATTACCTTATTCGCAAATATAACTTATCATTGGGTCGTATTTTGGCTGACTTGTTTCATACCTATTGTTCATAGGGGTTTGTCTTCCGGATTGTTAAATATAAAATAAATTTTAAAAATTTTGAATCTTCTTTAAATACACTTAAAAGTTGTTAAAATAGAGATTCTGACACTTTCAGTCAAGAAAAACCACGTTTAAAAAAGACGTACCACACCTATATACATAAACTCTAGGTGTGGTACGTCTTCTTTAAAAGTGGTTTTTCTTGACTGAAAGTGTCAGAATCTCTATTTTATCAACTTTTAAGTGTATTTAGATTCAAAATTTTTAAAATTTATTTTAAATTTAACAATCCGGAAGACAAGCCCCTATGGTTCCGTCTACCTCATCAATTCATAGGGCTCACGACGGGTGTGACCAATCAACAGGGGATGCTTATTCCCCCTAGGCACCCGATCCCACCTCTGGAATTTCCAGGGGTCCGTGTTTTATGCCCCCTTCACAGAATTGTATTGTTAATAGCTTTTTTTTTTTTTTTTTTTTTTTTTTTTTTAGATCGATCACGGTCCGTTATCTTCACCTTTTCATCATACACATTTACATAAAATAAAAATGGTGAATTGTAATTTAGTATGTACAGCAAAGAAAATAATAATAATAATGAAAAAATAAATAGATAAATAAATAAATAAATAAAAAATACGTCAAACATAAAAAGTGTTTTTCCGTCGTTTATAAAAAAAAATATTGACTTTGCCGACAAGAGAAACATGACTTCCACCTAGAGTTGTTCCGTGTAATGGAACTTTTCAGGATCTATTCGGAATTCTGTAAGAATATATCTTTTTCAACGGGAGGAGATATCGGTTTTAAATAACATGACTGTCTGTCACAAAATCGTGTTCGGGCAACAATTCTTGAACCTTTGACTGGAATGGATGCAATCTGCACTTTTACAAAGCTTTTGCAAGTGATATCAAATGTGTGTCATGACATTAAGAAGAGGTCATATCTTACATGTCAATGTCGTCCATGAAATATTGAAATCGTATCCTGACTACAATTTCAATGCTCTCAAATGCCAGGGATAAACTTTTATAGCAATCAATCCCTAGTGAGATGAAAACAGGTCTAGGTCCGCCTCTGGCTCAAACCATACGCTCAAACTAATGTATAGGCCTAATCGTTAAAAAAATATCGCTTTCGTTTATTTTGTGCGAATTTCGAAACATAGTCATATTTTTTGATAATGACAATGCAGTATTTTTAACAAATCATTATGAAAAACTTTCACGTTTTGCACTTTGCAGACGTCAATATTTAATACAACTTAGCTTTCGAATCCCGATCCCGATCGAGAAACATCATCCCCATGGGTGAATATTAGAAGACAGAATCATCGAATGTAATTTTAGAAATCACTTTGATAGTCTCATTGATACTGGCCTTAGAAGTCTACGAATATTGATGAAATCTTTAAACGAATTTTAAAAGAATGTTTAGACTTTTAACAATCTAAAGTCTTCAGATCTAAATCTAGATTATATGTAACCAGTTTGATCCCTCATTGCTAACTTCACAGCATGAATTTACAAATGTGTAGCAATGTTGTTTTTGTTTTGATTGTAATAATACCGGATAAATTTGTTTATGTTTTGTTTCATATTGGTCTATAATCATTCCTTGCAAAATTTCATAGACACACAGAGTAATCCATATTTTGCAAAGCTTCAAATATCAGTTGTGAAATATTGAATGCAATCACATGTGCACGAAAACATTTCCATTAGAGTATATGGCACGGTAAATAAATTACAGACAAACCGTTCATTAACGAAGGAATGCTTGCATGATATTGCACCATGATTGTACATGTGACATCGTTTCCCCATTTCATATTGATATACTTGCTTATTCTATAAAATATGTGTATATACTGAGAACTAAATTAAAAAAAAGTTACATTGTCATTGTAAATTTAAATCTATTCTGAATACAGGTATTACCTTTAGTAGTAATAGTTCAGCTGTAATGCATTTCTTTCGCAGATCTGTCACAAAATAAAAGAAAAACAGAACACAATTACTTTTGTCGTTGAGTGTTTTGTAAGTGCTTTGAGGAGTACAGACGTTAATTTTGCATAGCATATAGCTAAATTTAAAACAGAAAGCGAAAAGTAGATACATTTCTCATTC